CAATTGGAGGACTTCAAAATTTGAAGTCCTCCAATTTCGAAAACTGTTGAGTGTTAAGAGTAATATTTGCACTATTCAAAAATTGCAACCCAATTCTAATGGATTCAGTTTTAATAGGACATGTAAAGCCTGTAGATGCTATTTTAATCCTATTCACTAGTTTTATGTTTTTTCGTGTAACTTTCAGCAAAATAATAACAACCATTAATATAGATAAAACTATTAAAAGTAAACAAGGAGAAAGGACCTGCAGTTCAATACACAATACCCTAGTACACCCCATATAAATAAAACTGTTGCTCAAATTCAAAATTGCATTTAACAAATTCAAAGCTAGTTTGATGACAATATTATTTGATGACTATACTATTGTTAGTGTACAACTGCCATCAAAATTCAAGAGTGCAATTATTTGTCTTGGTATATAGATGGGTAATACAGTATAGCCATCATAAGAAATTACAAATTCCATTGAAAGAAGGTATTGCCATAACAAGGATCCCAAAACACCTGTTTCCGCTTTGAGTTGCCTGTACCATGTTCCTGTGATAACTAACTCAACAGCTTCAAATCGATTCTATTTAGAGAACTATCGTTTTCTAAAGATAATGAATTGCCTTTTTCTCCTTGTTCTCTCTCAAAAACGTCATAACCGATTATAACTTTTAAGTTATGATGACCATGCATGAAATGGCTATTCACGTGTCACCGGGCGTGTATTAGGAATGACATGTTTATCACAAAATGAAAGCGAGAGAAATATCGGGAAACCAATCAAGCCGGGAGCGAGAGTGGTCTAAGCACAAAGCGCCGCCGCTTGCCCGATGAAAAACGCCCTGTAAAGGTGGTTTCCGCTTTATTTACCTAATCTTAGCGATTCGAAAATCGCTAGAGTAAATCATTTTTATTTATTTATATGGATATACAAAATTTGGGTAAAAAGGTAATAGGTAAAAAGGCTGAAACATTGTCTATAGACAAGAAGAAAAAAGACATGGCGAGTTAGCCCTCTCTCTCTCTCGAAGTCGCGATGTCGATCAACAAATATAAAGAAAATAGACATGGCGAGTTAGCCCTCTCTCTCTCTCGAAGTCGCGATGTCGATCAACAAATATAAAGAAAATAGACATGGCGAGTTAGCTCTCTCTCTCTCTCTCTCGCATCCAACGGCTGTTTAGAATAAAATGAGACTGCCGGTAGCGAAATAAAACTTTGTAACTAACTAGGTTAGATTGTATACTGTTGATTTAGTGCTCACACAATCAATTAATATAGTGATATATTTAGCATGCTTAGATGAAAATGATAAGTTGGGAAATCTTTTACGTGTCGAGTACCGTACGATACCGGTATGCCTTTCGGTACCGGTATATGAGCACGTTTTCTTGTCACTTTGTTATCCCTTGCACAGCATTCTAACCAAACACATTTAATTTAATATATTTATCCTCGCTATTGAAGTTGTAAGTCGGACTTCCTTTCCGACCGTCGTCGGGTGCGGACGTGTCAGCTTGAAAAGACTAGTGAATGCTACGCGTTGTATGTTTCGGTATCTGTATCACGCAATATCAACATGAGCAAAGCCCATCCACTAGAATTAAAGAAGTTTATGGATAAAAGATTGGATTTAAAGTAACATGGTGGACGATTTGTTACGGGTAGCCTATATTGCGAGGTTTCGATCCTTTTATGAATCTAGTTGTGTATGATGGAACAGAGCGTAGAAAAGATGGGATCCCTGCACCTGTTGGAATGGCTGAATTGTGGTCGTTCGTGGAAATTCGATATTAATGTTGGAAGCATTGGAACGGATACAATGATTTTAAAGTGAACTAACCGAAAACGACGAAAGAACCCAATACCCCAATCCATGATTTGTGCATAGACTGCTACGGAACATCCAATCCATTTACCAAGCTTGTTTTTTAGTAAAAAAAAATTTGTCACTGTGTTATTTTTGCAATATAATTGAAGTAGGCCCACAACAGGGTCTTACTACTTACTGAATACGGTACAGCGCGAAACACCGCAAAACAGCGCGAAACAGCGCAAAATAGCACGAAACAGAGGCAAACAGCGCGAAACAGAAGGAAACCAGCGCAAAACAGAGGGAAACAGCGCAAAACAGGAGACGCAGTCATTACCACCTCCTGCCACGAAAGAACCACGGCGCCTCTCGCCATGGTTTTATGGCGCTATTTCCGGCATATATACAACAACCCCGTGCAACTAACTTGTCCCATTATGGCGTCATATGGACGCCATTTTCGATCATTCGGGTCGAGTAGTGTAACGCAAACAAGCCTAATTTTAGTAGTTTTAAATAGTTATTGGGGAAGATTTAAATGAGTAGTTATATTCCGAAGCGCAGAAATCCGATAAGGCGTCCCATTCAGTATCGAACTCAATATGAGGCACTTACATTAACAACCCACGCCGCTCGGTGACAAACAAAATATAAACGCAACACACGGTTAGTAAAGTAAAGTTCATTTCGATTTTTCCGTAACACTAAAGTTGCTATAAAACCAGAAAACTGCAGGTGAAGTTTGAACATTTTAAGAACTTGTGTGAGCATTATCATAATATAAAACAAATGGGCAATGCAAGTCAACACACCCACACACATATAGCCTACGGACAATTGGGAAAGTAGGCAAAATCTAAAATTATTCCAGACTAGGGCTATCGGCCGTCCCCGGAATGACCGGGACAGTCCCGGAATTGACGTCTGGCGGCCCGGGCCACGGCTGTCCCGGAATTTACTGACAACCAGGGCGTTCTGAAATAGCTTGGGCTATTTTTGGCTTCTGTCACATTCGAAATACCCTATTTCGCCATTTGGGGTCCCATGTTTGGGGTGTTTCACACCAGAACAGGCCTAAATGACTAAAACGAACTGAATTTCGACAGTAAAGACGACGTCAAATGAGATATTACAACTGTCCTATAGCTAAATGTTGTTGGCAATGTTACATTAGAAATTTGCCCTTTCCAGACGCTGTTTAGTAAGATTACGGTATCTGTCAAATTCCCCAAAGAACATTCTACTGTTCTATGTCAGCTGCGAAATACTGGGCCTGGCGGTGTGGCGCATCGTGCTAATCGTTGGGAATACGCTCGCCACCTCAACTCTGATTACCCTTCACGGGATCGCAGGTTCGAATCCCATGCGGGGATGATCATGTGCGAGAGGATTGCTGGACTCCTCGCCGCCGTAGGGTGGTTCACGTAACCGCTGGTCGGTTACAGCTTCCTCCACCATCAAGTCATTGCTTCCGAATACAAATAACTGGCTAACTAATCCCATACCTGACCTGGTAACCGGGCGAGAGGCCTTGGTTCGCCATATGATTAAGCCGTCTTATCGGCTTTTCTCTCCCCTGGGATAAACATGTAAATCCTATCCTATCGCTGCACAATTGAATTGTAAATGTCCTTACCAATGGCAGTACAACGAAAGAGAGATTTTATTACTTTGTCAACAAAAAATACACTCATCAATAAAATAGCTACAGCAAATCAAATTGTTTTGGTGGAGATGACCAGTGGCAAAAACAATTACGATAATATTCTAACAATGAATTTCTGAACAAAATGGGGGGATTCTTAGATAAAACCGATGTTAAGCATGTGTGTGTTTTAAAAAAAAAGGGGGGGGATGGGGCTCAGCGGTTGCATTCGTTAAATAAAACAAAAGCGGCCAGAATAATGTGATGGAAATTTATATTTAACTGAAATTTAAATTCAATGGAGTTTGAAAGATAATAATCAAAAAAAAATAAACAAATTGGCTATGTATACACAGTGGATCAGCGACAAAATTTTTTTCAATGTGATGAGAATGTGTCTGAACGTGAAAAATAAATAAGTGCAACTCAGTGATACATACACAGTATTGCATAAAAATAACACACTGGATAGAAAAGGATGATTTTGATTCATAGGTTTGTCATAATCTGAAAATGTTTCAAAATTGCATGAACTTTATATATATTTTGGGATTTTTACAAACTTGCACTCTAAAAATGTAAATACTTACAAGTATACTTATCAAGAAGTTTTAGCAGATGGGTTTTGAAAACGTTTCTGACCCACACAAGAGGGTCAAATCAACAGGAAAATTTTCATAATTCACATCTTGACAATCGTGTTTACAAAACGAAGCAAGCATGATCATCATAGGAATACTGAACATTTTTATTTAAATCTTTGGTGTAACAGTATGATTCATGAAATCATTGCAAACAAACTGATAGTCCAGAGCAATTTGGAAGTAATTTGATTGAACAAAAATAGAAATGATACTTATCAAATAACAAAGATATCAGAAAAGAACCATTCATTTGATCAACAATAGCATGTAAATAACTAAATATAAAAAACGTGGAAAAGAAGTGCTATTCGATTGACCAACAATAGAAATTTCAACAATTAAATAACAAAGACATGAAAAAGGTACATTAATTAAAACTCCCGCAGTATGTGTACCAGGTTAAAGCTAAGCCCAATTTTTATTCCGACTTTCCTTATCTTAGTTTCATTACAAAGTCGTGACTACATATGAGTGCCTATTCGTGGAATTGACTTTAACAAATAATCTGTGTTTTTATGTTCAATTTCAAGTCTTTTAACTGCTAAAAAGTTATTTATAATAGGTTTGTAATAATTTGGATAAATAAAAACACAAAAAATAGCACACCTGTGTTACACTGAAAGTTTTATATACCCCAAAAAACGATTTGGGTGAAATACTCCCCCCAATATTCAAATTTTCTTATGTGGTTGCATGCTGTTCTCAGAAAATAGGTGACCGTATATTTGAACCCATGTACATTTGAACCCATGCGTATATCCACGGGTTCAATCTATATGCGGGTGCTAAAACCCATGGGTTAGGGTTAGTATGGGTTTAACTATCCGTGAAACAAAAAAATTCCATAGGTGCAATAGCATACAGATACAATTGTCATGGGTTCAAATGTACGTGGGTTCAAATGTAATGGAACCCAGAAAATAATAATCAGAAGCCAGTAACAAAATGTGTGTTACACAGTGTAATGTGGTTCTGGATACATGCAACAGTCCACTCACTGTGTGCAAAGTAGTAACCATCGAAGCTACAGTCTTCAATACATCATATGCCTAAACAAAAGCCATAGTACTTCTGAAGTCAATCTTGAGGCTTAAGCAGCAATCTCACACTCTTGTGCTGTATATGACCCAACATTATAGGCTTCTGGCACAACTGGTTTGTCCTGGTGGCACCTGGAGTAGGATGTTTCGATCAAACCTGTAACGTAAGTGAAATGATTCATTTTAACACATTCAAACTGACAATTATAGATTACTTTGGCATTCAAAACTTACTGTAGGCTTATTGTTCTTTTTTGAAATTTCATCTCAGTCAATATATTAGCTAATTCAGCTTTTGATGATTTGAATTTTTTGGTGAATTTGGCTCGTCAAATATTGTCTATATCCCATTTTATTTTTTTTTCATTTATCCGTCCTCTTCGGTTCAAATTGATATTTTTCAAAAATGAGTCTGAAAATGGAATGAGTTGTAGGTTATAAAATGAACGTACTTTTGAAATAGCGTTCAGCATCCAATTTTTACCACAAAATATAATTGACAGTGACTTAACTAAACACGCATTCAGTTCAGAAATTCAAAAGATAAAGCATTATTTCCACTAAGCACCGAATTGTCCATTCACATTGCTGATAATTACTATGAAATGTTGTGACCGTAGGACTCCAAGCAATCATGACAGTGAATCTTGTACATTCAATGCACTGATTTTTGACATTGCATTAGGCTACTTAGGATGATTTAAATACAGTTTTCCTAATCTAAAAATCTTAGTAGTTCAACGTAACTTTTCTGGGCTAACTTTAGTGAGTCGGATCGGCAACGTGATACAAATAGTTAAATGTGGCATCATCCTAAAACTGTGTACAGCCTGCAGATTACTAGCCTGTCTGGTGTCAGTTTGACATTAGGCAATTCGTTTGACTAACCTCACACAACGAACTGCCTGGGCCGGATTTCCAGCCTCTACAAATATTTTCCCATTTGTTTCTTCTCTCGGCATCTGCTGATAGCTTCAATAGTTGCACTGTTTGCTATTTCCGCTGCAATTAGACGCCGAGTAGCCTATAATTTTATAGCAGAAGGCACCAGCCTAGCTGAGGATCACGCAGAACCGCCGTAACCTCGCAGGCGACATTGATCGAAAATGGCGGCCAATTTCCATTGTTGCGCAACTTAGGTATATATGGGCTTTGATATACAAGGTTATGTACCGGATTATAGGTCATCATGAATATCAGAAATAACATGTATTTTCTGCTTGTCTAAAGCCTTGGTTAGTGTTGTATCGTATAACGCTCTATTTTAGATTGTAGCACGATACATGAGCTATTTATTGCTGGACAGAAATTGGTCAGAATGGGATATCGTGAACGTTCCTTGGCGACAATTTAGTCGCTTGTGATGCTTGTTTATTTTGAGCTCTGCACAACGACCCCGATAAGAGAGAGGTCGGTGACGTATTGAGTTTGTTGACATACTCGTAGGCGCCATTACGGGTGACCGTCGCTAAACTTTGGCAAGCTGTATTTCGTTATTGTGACGTAGCAGTGACGTAATTTTTGGATGACGTCATCAGGGGGGGTCAGGAATCATATATCCAAAAAAAATTGTTACGCCACGCCCACTAGAAGTTATTCAGGTAAGAAAGTACAGGAGACCCAATTTCTCCACCTAATCATCCCAACTGTTATTTTTGTATAGATATTGAATTGATCAAACTGGCAAATGTATATCGATTCAGATGCTTTGCTCGTTAAATACTGAAATAAGGGGCGACAAATGAATTGTTTTATTTTTGAAAGAGAATCCATCTACTGCAGTAATGGATGAACAGGGGAAGAACTATGAAACTAAAGTTTCAAATGATGAAAATACCTTTCATTCTGAAAAGAAAGCAGATCCTTTGAAAAGTGATCAAACTCAGCAAAATGGTGACATTGGTCTTGGTGCACCAGATCATTCAAACATGGTTGATCAAGCTGCAATTGAAATAGCTGCTAATAAACTCATTGCTCAATTAAGTGATCCTGGGAAATTTAGTTATCTTGGATTATGTAGCACTGTTCTCTCATTACTGTTTGGATCTCCAGAGGATAAGTAATTGCTTTTTTAAACTATGTATTAATTTCAATTGTTCAGTTTGGCTTGCATAATACAGTAGGGCACAGTTTTCCGATCTAAGATGTCCCAACACACTATTTGACTCTGAAACGCACCATGCTTGTCTTGATAATAGTTTAATGTGAGTCAGCCTCCACATGACCGAAATTCTCTTCCGTTGATATTTTTTGCTTAAAAACTTCCAAATGCTGCGATAAATTTTTTTTCCTGTGAATTGGATTATTTTTTCCGGTGAATCCAAGGGTGACTTTTTTAGGATACGCTTCCTTTTAGTTTATTGTGCATTGCCGGTTTGCCTATATGAGGCGCAGACTGTCTCGTAAAGAAGTTGGCATTCACTGTTTTAATTGATGTATTTTAATTAATGTGGGGGCTATTCTAGGAATAGGATAACTGTGCCATATTGTAGTATACATGTTATAGTCGTAATTTTATGGACTTCTTTATCGATCTTGTTTGCCAGAGTCTATCGACATAAGACAGTCTACTCATTGGTCAAACATGTTCAACTTGAAAGCAATTGTTATCCAACAATGGTTGCTATATCTGATGGAATGAGCAGTCATACCGGAAGTGATGTTTTCATAAAAAGTCTTTTAACAGAAAAAATGCTTAAGGTAAAATAAACATATCATCAGCAGTATCATTCTGTACGTTTTTTTAACATTCTATATCTGTATGGTATCATCAAATTGATTCGATCAGTTAAAGACACAGACTAACTAATTGGTCCTATAAGTTATACAATAAATGTAATATTTTCACTAGGAAGCAAACCTAAACAAAATAAGTACCGTAGGTATTTGTTATATTTCTATTTAAGTTTAAACTCTGATCCATGCTGGTTTTATATATGTTTTTGTTTAGAATAGACCTGTTACAATTGCTGAAGATCTTGTACTCTGGGCTTTGCTATCTGGCACAAGTGATGGCACAAATGCAAATCTCAGAGGACGTTATGATGCCAGAACTCGTATATTAATACGCCACATCACATGGCAGTTACATATTGTTCTTGAAGATTTAGAATCTGTTGAACATGAAATGGTTAAAATGTTGGAAGCTTGTACTGAAAAAGAGAAATCGTGAGTGAAATCTATCTGCTACATTTTTCACATGTTTCAATCCAGCATCCACATCTCGAACCTGCGAGGCGAACATAGTTTAATGCATGGTGCTGAGTATGAGGCTAGACTTTGAATACCTTTTCATTTATAAATTAAATTATTATTGTCAACAATGACTGCTGTTGAACCACTCGATGCTTCAATTCGCAATGCTGCTTCATACACAGGGATAAAAAGACTCGAAAAATTTAAAAAAGTCGATAAAGCTAATATATTTCAATGTGTCAAAGTTTCATTCTGAAGTATAATAATTGTATTATCCTTATCTAGGGAACAAGAGGAAGATAGGCGACGGAATGAAAGAAACCGAAAATGGAAAAGATATGCTTTGATTGGGCTGGCAGCTGCAGGTGGTGGTGCTATAATTGGGTTAACTGGTGGTCTTGCTGCTCCATTAGTAGCTGCTGGTGCAGGTAAAGTGTATTTGCAAGTCATTCTTAACTTCATAATGTAATACAGTGGTTCCCGAACTTTTATGGCTTGTGCCCCCCTTCTGATGGCTATTAGCACTCGTGCTCCATAAAACTACACACACTGCAGTCTAATTCTGTCTATTTTACCAAATTTTTATGGTATTCCACTTATTATGGCAAAAGCAAACCAAAGGTTATAAAGTCGAAGGTAAATAATATACAACCAATTACACAATTGTTAGAATTCACAGAGCATTTGTTGTTGTTTGTTACTTACATTGGGTATTCTGATTGGTAGATTCCAAATCCCATAATGATCAGACAATTCATGCACAAGTAAGGGAAAACACTCTGGGACTGAAAAGGCAGTTTTCAGGTAATGAAACTATGGGGAACAGAGAATTGTCTTTTGGAGGACAATTAAATATGCTTTAACTATTGTAGGGGGGTGGGGTTATTTAAGTAGTTTTTGACATTTAAACCGGTGTAAAATCTGAGTGAAATCGATTCTCCGTGAAATTATGGTTCCATTGTAACATTCTGACTCTGTACTTTCTTGCATAACAGTTTGAGTCTTATTTAATGTATTCAAGTCACCCAAAAATGCAATTTTTTTTTGGAAGTCAGTATACTCAATTTACCTCATTTTTCGAGGATAATTGAGTATACTGACATCTACCAGTTAAATCAAATCTAAGAAAGCCCTAGAACCAAATCAAACCCCCCCCTCATGAGAAACTTGGGTACATATAGTTTATTTTAAAAAATAGTAATTACAAAAACCTTGGAACATAATTATCTGACATCACTTTAAACTTGGTATGATAGATCGCAATTATGGTTTCCATAAACTTTTTACCACAAATAGGCTTTTAGTTTAAATACAAGTTCACTATGGACTAGAAATGGGTGGTTTGACTTGGCCAACAACTTCCTTGATAGAGATACTTTTTATGTTCCTATTTTGGGTTAAATCTAACACAAATCTTTGAGCTCTTTCATACACTGGTATCCTACAAAGTTCATTTTGTATACATCGGTGAGGACAACTTGGCCAAGGAATTCCCTTTCCCCCTATTTCAACCAACTTCCTTGATAGAGATACTTTTTATGTTCCTATTTTGGGTTAAATCTAACACAAATCTTGAGCTCTTTCATACACTGGTATCCTACAAAGTTCATTTTGTATACATCGGTGAGGACAACTTGGCCAAGGAATTCCCTTTCCCCCTATTTCAACCAGCCAGTCAAGGTCTTGATTTCATTAATGTCAGAATATGCTACTTAGAGTTAGTTATAATCAGCTGTACTATGTGAGAATTTTGCCTCGTATTCTGTCTCGTAGTCAATAAAGCGGAATCTAATTCCTTTCCCCCTATTTCAACCAGCCAGTCAAGGTCTTGATTTCATTAATGTCAGAATATGCTACTTAGAGTTAGTTATAATCAGCTGTACTATGTGAGAATTTTGCCTCGTATTCTGTCTCGTAGTCAATAAAGCGGAATCTAATTCTGACTCTGTTACTGCTTTTCTGAACTATTATTATGATCTTTCTATTTGCTGTTTTTCTTTTTTCTACCAATCATATCCGTTTTAAGTTTATCCTATCAGTAAAATGATATATACTTTCAATTGACATTATATAGTTTTCGCCTGAATTTATTTTCTGGGACGGCTTTTTCTTTATTATTACTACTTGTTTTCGGAGATGACAGTGAGTGTGATTACGTCAACTAAAGCCTTTGTAGATGCACTAAGTTTACTGGTGGAGTAGGACTCTGTGCTTGGCTTGTCCACAGCTTTCTTTTTTACTATTTTTTTAGTTACAAGAAAAAAACTGCTTTCTCAAAATCCTACAATCGCCCATTGTGAATTTACACACATATTCATTAAAAATAGAAGCCTATATTGAAAGATGGACATGATAAAGGCTACAAAAAAGTGTTAGGGCTCAAAATAGTCACACAGAACCTCGTATTCCTGTGTTATAGCAGTGGGAGAGGCCATTTATGCATATACCCGATTTACCCCACGGTAAATTTCCGACAGACTCAATTTACCTCGATTTTTTCAAACATCAATAAAACAAAAAGTCAATGAGTTACACAAAAATTATCTACAGGGGCTAAGAAAGTCTTTACTAGGGTACTAAAAGGCATCACAAAAAGTTTAAAATATACTATCAGAAAAGTGTCACGTGAAAGTTTCCAAAACAATTTTTTTCATGAACAAAAAAAATTTCACATACAAACATCTAAAACAATTTTTTCATTGGTAGGCAAGTGAGTTATACGCAATGAAATGAAAGCATAGGATATGAACTATTGTTGCTACAAAGTACAAACCATTCACTCAACATACAAAAAAGTTAGCGAGGTTCTTATACATTGTACTCAATTAACCCCATATGCTCAATATACCCCCCCCCCCTATTCTTGAACAAAAATGTTTAACAGTGATATATATCGAATCTGACTTGGTGTTTTCCTATTACCCTCTTCAACATAAATACACTCATTAGCCTTAAATTAATACTTTAATGCAGGGGTGTGCAAAGTGCGGCCCGCGGGCCAAATGCGGCCCGCAAGGAAAAATTGTGAGGCCCGCGGAGAAGTGCCAATTTTGAATGATGCGCGGCCAGCTAAACTAGTTTTGAAATTTAATTAGATCTGGTTCCCTTTGAGTTGCAAACTCATATCCCAGTCCAATTTATTATCTATGCCTATGACGTTACAATACAACGCCCTGACAGCGAGGCAAACAACTTGATTCGCAAAGCTGTCCCTTGCTGAGCAGCGAACAATTTAAGGAAAATATGGAGCAGACGCTGATGAACTTGTAAGAGCGGGCAATTGAAGGTTAGGCAACTGGCAAGCAGTTTAGAAAAAATTAATATTATAGAGATACAAGAGCTAACTGGGTTCTGGTTCCAGTGTATCAATTGATTTTGTCTAAATCTAATCTAGAATAAGACTTGACAAAAAATTATTTGGAAATGAATTTTACCGAAAACACCAAGAAAACTTTCCACATTTAAAAAAGTCATGGCTTCAAATGGCACTTTGCGGTAACAATTTTTTTCTAAAAAGGGCGTCATATTGAATTGCTAGCACTTCCATTCAAGCAAATTTGGATAAAAGTAGTCAGTTCAAACTGAATTTGTTTAAATTGGGTGTCAAATTATATATATTTGAATTACAGTTTTAAGAATATGCATTTCAAATCATCATTTCTGCAAGGACCCCTTATGATGGTATGAGATCAATAACAAAAAGACACTATTTTGTGCCTGCAACTAATAGAAAGCCTATGTTAAATGACAATGCGGCCAGCGGTTTCACCCAGTTATTGAAATTTGGCCCGCCTGCGAAAAAGGTTACACACCCCTGCTTTAATGTATTGTGTTCAGTGTTTCTGTTCCGTATATAAAAAACCAACATTGTTTTTGTTCTAGGAACAATTCTCGGTGCATCATCTGCTGCTGCACTTGGTTCTGTTGCTGGATTGGCAATTATTACTTCATTGTTTGGAGCTGCAGGTGCTGGTCTCACTGGATACAAAATGAAACGAAGAGTGGGTGGAATTGATGAATTTTTATTCCGACCTTTAACCCCGGGAAAAGAACTCAACATCACTATTGCAATATCGGGATGGTTGTCAAGTACCCAAGGCCATGGTGAGTAGTGAGTTCCACAATAAAAATATTTGACAGCATGGAGTTTTCTAGCCTAATTGAGTAAGGAATTTTTACACACGTTTGGGACTTCTCTTTTTATATGATCCCCGATCATTCATATTGGACTATTAGTCAACCATTGTCATATATTACCAATGTTGCTATATAGGAAAGGAAGTTTTCTAAACAAAGAGAATTCAAGAAAATGATTGATCCATAGGCATATGATTTTCATAAACTGTTGCTTGTGAAATCCCTATCCAGTTCTATATTATTTTAGGTGATTTTGCAATACCATGGACAACCCTGCGACAAAGTCATGAACAATATTATGTTGTTTGGGAATCAGAACACCTCATAAGATTAGGAAGTGCATTGGAATATATTCTTGATAGTCTTGTTACTGTAGCTGCTAATGAAGCTTTAAAATATACTGTTTTGTCAGGTATGGCAAGTTCGTGAATATTAGCTTGTGTTTTTGTAACAACATTTTTGTGGTGAGGTTGTGAAAATATATTATTTGAGTCGAAAGGTTTCAGTTGTATAAGCTATGTCGTTGAAATATATTCAGATATATTCAAAAAGTAATTTTTATAAAGGCTTTGCCCAATAGCGTATCATAATTTGTCATCTGGTTTCTATTGGTTCATTTAAGTTCTGGGCTTTTGAGATCTTTTAGCATAGTATTAGTACTATCTTATAGTCATACACTCATAGGTAAATATGTTATTAATCAATGAGATAATAAACAACTGTTTTGATGATATCTCACTACAAATGAGATTGAAAGCTGAATCAACTGAATTGATGTACATTGAAAAATTCATAATACTCATACAATCGTAGCAGATTCACACTGGAAAAAGAAACTCCTTGAGATTATTCTGCAATAGCATATTTTGTTTCTTATCAGGATTGGTTGCAGCAGTTGCATGGCCTGCTTCATTATTGGGAGCCGCAAGTGTTATCGATAATCCATGGAGTGTTTGCTTGCAAAGGGCTACGCAGGTAATAATAGTGAAATGTCTGATTTTTGAACTGATCAAGCAGATCCGTGTTGGACTATAACTACTTTTTTTATTGTTTCGTCATAGAAGCCACTAGGTTTTGATCATTTTACATTATGGTGAAGTTAACCATTCTATCATAGACTATGTAGATGCCAGATGGGAGTATTGGTGGGCTGGTGGCAGCCGTATATGTTTGCGAATACTTGTGTTAATAAGTTTTAGTTTTTATATTTGTTTCTCATCAATTTATTGTGTATATAATCAAAACAGGTTGGAAAAGAACTAGCTGAAGTATTGCTTTCTCGGCAGCATGGACATCGTCCTGTAACATTAGTTGGATACAGTCTTGGTGCTCGTGTTATATTCCACTGTTTGGAAGAAATGGCAAAACGCAAAAGTATGAAATTTACTTTGAATAGAAGATAGTAGATGATTAATTTTTGCATTTGAAATACCTAACATTGTTTTATAGATCATTCAGGAATAATAGAAGATGTTTATTTGCTTGGAGCTCCAGTTACTGGGTCTGCAGAGAAATGGGCAGAATTTTCCACAGTTATTGCTGGTCATATAACCAATGGATATTGCAGGTACCATAATTTTCCATTAATTCTTTTATGTTTTGTTGAATTTTAGTGTAAATAAGTCATATTATGAAATTTTATCAGGTCAGATTGGTTGCTCAAGTTTTTGTATCGTAGTAGCTCGAGACAGACAGAGGTTGCAGGTTTGCAACCAGTAGAATCGGAAAATAGAAGAATGATTAATATTGACCTTACTTCAGTTGTTGAAGGACATCTCGATTATCGGAAAAATATGCCAACTATACTCTCAGCGGTCGGCCTGAGGTAACACAACACAATTTCTAATTCAAGAAACTTCATTTGTAAAAGTTATCACAATTATTAATTCCTTTATGCTCCAATATGACTGTCAATGTTTAATTTCCATCATTCCTCAGGTATTGGTTCAACAAACTTGAAACTTTAAACCAGTTATTTCCTGTAAATAATAAATATTATTCATTAACAATTTAATTAAGTTTAAATATATCACATATTATGGTTGTTGTGTAATATTTTGAGAGAATATTCCATATCTGGAAGTGTGATATATTTTAGATTTTCTTTATGATTCAGGTCAAATTCTGATGCCTCAGAATTGGCAAATAAATTATCCAACACAAACCTGAAAGCAAGGAAATCACAAAGTATGCCTGTGATTACAAATAAAACAGTAGATTCTGAAAAAATTCCTCGATCAGAGTCGCTCATATCAAGTATAGATTCACGTGGAAACATGGGGGAAGAATCAAACCAGGCAAACTCTTCGAGCAGTTGTTGTGACTTATATGAAAGTAAACACCAGTCTGACACAGCCGTACAAAATGAGAGCCAGAACATAAATACCTATAAGTCAAATCATTGTGATCAAATTGCAGTATCTGATGACGCCAATGACAATGTTCCAATGTTGAAAAATAAAATTTGATTATTGTAATTGGTGAGAGTTTTGGTATTTATTTTATATTTCAATCATTAAGAGTAATTATAACATGTTTAAAGGGATTTTGTGCAATAGAAATTGGTGTGATTCTCATTTTTAAATATTTATGATTTATTGCCGTAAAGAGTTTTAACGGAAGTTTATTTTTCATTAGATAAGGCATGGATATGTATTTTTGATTGGTTTTAAAATTATATTTAGTATTTGCCATGTATTATTTAAATGGTATTGAATTGAGCCAACCATAAGCAACTTGAATTTGTGTTGATATCAGCATAATTGATATGGGAAGGAATCGGTGTTTACTTTCTTTGTATTGTTTTATTTGTGCTTCTTAGTTGTTTATGTGATGGCGAACAACAGGCTATGAGATTTAGCAAACATTTCCTAATGATGAAATTGTCCATGTGGAAAAATATACAAGCTAAGTTGATCTATTAATGTTCTATTATAAACCTCATTCGAACAGTATAACGCATGAACTGTATTTTATACTTGATATCCTAAACTAATCTATATGATTATTTTCCTGATGGCTTGTAGCAATGATACATGGTACATGCCTCCTTTAAAAATATATATATATAGACTATAAAAGAATGTTTTAAATATGAATTATTTAACTATCATCCAACATTGTGAATTTATTAGTGAAATTTCAAGATTTTTTTGCCTCATGGCACTAGTGAATAGTATGGTTTGAAGTATTTCATTGAAAGAACACAAGTATATATCAATCTTACCATACAGTTTCTTGAATATTTTGATAAAATTATGTCTGCCAAATCTAATCATATAAACTTGCCTTGGAAATGACTGGAAATTTGTCTTATTATGTTTTGAAAGTGTTAGCTTATTATATTATTTCAATGACTAAATGATCGATATATACTGGTTTGAAAGTGAAAGAAAACGGAAGTTTTTTCCCTCCTATATTGCAATCATGAATCTTCGTTTGTACTGACTTTCTCTTTTAGTATATCACATTCCAAATTCACCAAATTTTTCATTTATATGTTCCTCTAACCTTGTGTCTGCCTTCAGTTAAAATTATGTTTTATTTCTTCGATAACGGTGCAAGATATTGATTGTTATTCAAATGACTTCTTTTTTAATTTATTTCCCTAAATTGATGATATAACCTGAGATTTTGTGATTATGGGATGTCAGCACTCATCAAGATGGCCAGTTATTCTAATTCATGGATGTAATTGTTCCAGAACCAATAATTAACAGTTAATAATTCTTCTGCTCGCAAATATTATGTAAGTCTAGGCATCAAAAGGATCTGTCACACAGTATGTAGGAATTCTGTGCCGACTTAGTTTAATATCAATCAGACATAATCTTTTTACAGTTTACACGAAATAGCGAGTATGATGGTTTGGTGTTTCCCAATTTGTGGGCCGCGGACCCCCGTTTGAAAATCTTAGTTTTGACGGACCTCATCATATGCCTTATCACTTTCTGTGCCTAACCAACAAGGATGAATAATGTTTCATTTACAACACAAACGGCATTATTGTGATGGATGAGGTTGCTTTTCATTGCCAATTTATCAATATTTGGAGTGCATTGTGACGAGCAAACTCGTGGGTCGGCTCTACACCAAGTCTCGACCTATATAGCTGAAAATACTGCCTCACACATGTAGGTCGTTGTAAAACGCATTAAAATTTTAATTGACTTTTCTGAAAGCAATGAATATTCGTCTACAATGCTTAACTAAAGTAATTGCAATGGCTTTTTGATTGAAATCGATCAAACTCTTTCATGTTTTGGGATTATTTCAATTTAGTGACCACGTTGTTTTTTAGCCATGACGTGAGGGCCCTCTTTGATGTTTTCAGTTTAATTCCATTCAATGTAATTACTATCAGGCCGGAAACGTTGTTAACAACGCGACATATTCTTACTATGAATATTCCTGATATTTTTGCAAGTGTGATTATTTTTGTGAATTGCTTCGAATGGATGTTTCTAACCGTCGATTCTTCCTCTCATTTCCCTGTGTTCCATTCGTAAAACACAACTACTGATATGATTTCCTGTAATGGCCAAGCGCAAACTCCTCAAACATATCTTATCAATACCTTTTTGTGTCATCGCGAAAAGATGAATATGTCACGAAAAATTATGAACGTCATTCTTGCCTTGTGCTTATTTCGCAGATAAAACACGCACCATTACGGTCGTGCGTTTCGTCTATTGTTGTAGGACCCTGGGTTAGACTTAGAGGCAGGGCTGCCACTTTTGCCTGACTAAAAACATCTAGATTGACCTCGAAAAACATCTAGATTGAAAAATAAAACATTTAGAAAATACATAGATATGAAGTCATTGAATTTAATGAAAATTAACGAAACAGGAGCATACAAAGTTTATTGTATTACATAATACATTTACAGTAATATTGGATGTCGAAGAAGCTAACATCATAACCTAGAATTCAATTCCCACCTGTAGAACTTACAAAGGGCTTTGTTCTTATCATCTGAAGGGGCAATCCATTCCTTAAAGGCTGATTCCTTAAGACAATCTTTTCTGAATTTTTGCTGGTAGTGCATACACTTTGGCATTTGATAGGTTGATGTTTAAAGAGAGACAAATTCAATATCACTTATAGATTTATATAACTTTATAATTTTAAAATCTTGGGAGTACAGGAGTAAGCAACTTGAACAACACAAGTTATTCTCACCCATTGCAGCCTTGGCAACGTCACATGTTTTAAACATGTTTAATTCTTTATTTGAATATTTTAATTACATATGGTAGCGGTGGACGAATACAATATAAATGAGTTTTATCAATCTTACATCAATTCTTCTAAATAATGAAATAATATAAATTCACCTATTACAGTATTATACACTATTACTTTACTACTATTTCTTTATTTATTTCCCACTGAATAATACTTCGAACCTTGAAAAAAAAAATATCTAGATTTTATAGCTAACATCTAGGATACAAGTTTTACATCTAGATCTTGAAAAAAACATCTAGATATAAAATATCTAGATTGGCAGCCCTGCTTAGAGGTGATTACAGGCCGTTGGAAACGTCATTCCATCGTTGGAAACGTGTTGCAATCGCGGCGGTTGTTCAAAAAGTCACTACAAGTGATTTCGGCGCCGTGGTATGATAATTTTCGACCTCCCTTCCCCATCTTGAACGTCCTGTTTACCGTTATGCAGCTGCTTGGAACAATTCCGTTACATCGCTTATGCCATAACAATACAATTGTCCGTCAATTCCCCGTAATGTCTTCCGGAGGCGCAGAATGTTTTGGGAGTATGCGAGAACTAGTTTCTACATTGTAATTTAGTCTTTTTTTACGATGCCGTTTGGGAAACAATAGGCATAAATTAACCGAACAGTATTAACCGTTATATTGCCATCATTTTATGATAAGCATATTCTTCATTATCGCAAACCACTCGATTTGCCGAAGGACTGAACTTGATCTAATTGCTTTTGTAGGAGGCTCGTGAGCTAATTTTCATGATTTTTCTTACTCAAAACGTCCCTCTGATATCTCGGTTAAACATTCCGGGTAAAATCTTATGACTTTGGTGGAGATACAAACGTGGCGATAAATGTACGCAATAGAAGTAAAAGTCAAAATAAAAAATTGTACCCACATTTTTGAAATTATAATTCCGGCTGCGTGTGCAGCTGCCAGAATGTAACGTTTCGGCGTAGTTTCGCGGCGATGCGAGGGGTATTTCAATAGAAAGTACAAAAAATACAGAAAAAATTTGATTTAAAACAAGCCCTTGTTTTAAAACACGATTTTTTTTTAGAATTGATAAAAAACAAAACCCTAATCAGAAAACAGTCATATCAGAGGCCTCAAAGTCGGAAAGAAAGAAGAAAAAATCGAACAATTCGCCGATGATACCAGCCAAATAAATACCACGATCTACTCCTTAGGCTTAGAGTCTTAAGACCTTGTGTTAAAGAGTTTATAAATTTCCACTTATCAACCGGCCAACCCCTGAATATAGAAAAATCCCAAATACTGTGTGTAAACGAAGAGGTATTATGTGACGCTAATACATACGCTTTGGGTTTTCTCGCCCTTCCACGTTACGCCTTATTATTTTCTCAGGTATTCTCACTTTTGCACAACATGATTCATTTTTGTTACAATTTAATATATATGTTTCTCCCATTGCCAAAATCATTCAATGATGTAATTCTCGACATTAGCGATAGAAATGAAAGAGGCAAACAAACCGTATTTCATTACAACAATTAATTATTATCGCTGGAAACACTAAATAGGTTTAAAGTTGTTATAAACAATTTTCACCGATGGACGAATCTTTTCACGTTATGAATTTCCGTGCAAGGCCCGAGCATAATTTGATGGCAAAGATCGTAGAATTTACTATGCCGAATTGCTTATTCGACTTTCCAGACCGCAGAAACTATCCGAAAAATAACCGTTTCTGTGTTCGAGATAATCGCCAATTCCACCACGCTTTCGTGAAATAGTGCAATTTACTAAATGTAATGGGTTTATTAAGTTTCATTGCATCAGTGTTTGTGCCAACACGCGTTTCGCCAGATTACTGCATGATTACAGATCGCAAGGGTGTGCAAAATGGAATATTTTTATCGAGTCGAATAATTGAAATATTTTTAACAAGTATTTGAATATCGGGTATTTTTAATACACACACAACGGGCATCCAGAATGCTAGGCATTCTAATGTTGGTGAGCTATTTCCGCCCGTCCTCTCTTTTTTTACAAGGACTACTTCTTATGCAACGTTTGGTTTTATATTCCTGTGAGAACTATGCGTTCATATGGGCGACATATGTTAAGACGGCTATTAAAAAGGGAATTCGGGATTTTGTTCTGATTTTTATCTTTTACGCCGGGTTTGATCTTTCTCCCCACCGATTGTAAATTAACTGTCCCAATTTTAAGCTAACAATATTATCGTTTCTGACGTCGGAATGCGGATTTTTATGAAGACGATAGTTGACCTTCTCATGATTTTACTTGCCTATTGTGTCTATTTTATTGGACACGTAGTGGACATAGCGATCGTTTCAATATTATGTTGTTGTTCTTGTAGGCTACTTGTTCTTTGACACGTTATTAAAAAGTCGCTTTTCTCTTTGATTACTGGACCAATTGCTTTGAAATTTTCAGTGGTTAAAGATAAAAATTTTCTTCAGAAGGCTATTACTTTTTTTTTTGCTATGACGTCATCAAAATTATTGCCATCAGTTGGCGCTACGTGTCCATATATTTGAGCATAGCTCTCTTGTCTTCGTATTAAATAGTGTATAAAAACCCTGCAAAGTCAATGCGTGAATACTGAATGTTATTTTGAGTTTAAATAATAGTCAGATATTAATTTGGAAAAAATTTTGCACAATAATTTATTACATTGTTTGACATTTTCAATTTTACGAAACGGTGTTGGCGCGCATTTTGCAAAACTTAGAATTGAAGCAATACCCAAATACCTGGAATACGACTCCTCAAATGTGTTGTTTCTGTTTGTTAGCAAGAGCCGTGGGGTAACTCTTGTGAAATTCAAGGGATTGGAAATTGGAATCACTTGAAATAACCCTGGTTGGGAACCACTGGATTAGATAATATCTGTAGAATATGGCATGTTTTTGACAGGAATATTATGTAGACAGACAACTATTTAGGCGAATGAATCTCAGTCTTATTTCCATATTTCCAGACATATTTCGAAATTGATCAACCCAATATAGAAAATAACATTTTACAACAAAAATACAAAGACGTATCAACACTTCACCCTCATTTTCAACAAACATCTTCAGTCCTCTGACAAAAATCCAAAAATTTTTACTACTTTCTTTCAAGTTTAGACATTCTTCGTCATTCAATAATTCAAGTAACAAGTGATAAATTTGCGTGCCTGTAAAGATGGCAGTCCAAAACTTTAAAGAACGTAATTTGAATGTAATTGTGGGAAAATGAAATGTGGATCTAGATGCAATGCAATGAGGATCCGGATGGATTGACGAAAAGCAAATGATATATACCTTATCTAGAAAATACTTTTCATACTCATACTTTTCAGAAAAATCTTGATCTTCAATTGTGAATTTCACCTGGGATGTATTGTTCCCAACAAAATATTTCTAATCACATTCTTAAAAGACGTAATAGTACGCGACCGTCTACCAAAAACAGTTAAAGAACACAATAAAATAAACATACACGACATAAAATCGGGCAATTACTTTTAATTAAATGCAAAATATTAAAAACTTTGTCAACCTGTGCGGGTCGAAACGATGCATGAGTTGACTCCATGTTCAGTATATGCAGAACAATGAAAAAACTCTAGCAGACTGTGCGGTTCGAAACAGTCCATGAGCCAACTTCATGTCCAGCATGATGCAAAACAATATAGACTTTAGCAAGCTCTGCTGATCGAAACAATTCAGGAGCCCGCTTCGTGTCCAGTAAAATGCAAAACAATGAAAACCTCATCAGATTGTGCTGGTCGAAACAATCCAAATGTCAACATGTTGTCCAGTAAATGCAAAACAATGGAAACGCCATTAACTATAATTTCTTCACTTTATTTACTCTTGATGTTTTGACGTAATTGCTTCAATTCATAATTTTTCGTGAGATCATCATCTTGTCGCCATGTCACAAAAAAGTATTGATTTATAAGAGAATTTGTGTTTGAGGAGTTAATCATCACGGAAAATCATATTAGTAGTTGTGTTTTTTTATTTATCAATGGATAATAGGGAAATGAGGAGGAGAATCCATTTGAAGTAACTCACAAAAATAATCACACTGGCAAAAAATATCAGCAATTATAATCAAAGTAAGAATAAGTCGCCGCGCTGTTAACAATTTTTTCGGCCTCATAGTAATTTACGAAGGAGTATAAACCCTCAGTGCCGTGGCTCTTCCAACTGTAGATTAAAACCATTCAAATATCTGGCATTCGTTGGAATTTTTCGATTTGATTAAATATATTCGACCGCCCCCAGCAACTTTTGTTCAGTACATTCGTTCAAATTTCAACATTTCACGAAAGATTTAGACACGAGTAAAGAGATATATCAATAAAAACCGATTCCTTAATTAACTACTATTCCCTACAAACTAACCATAACTCATAGGATAGGATAGGATTTACATATTTATCCCGGGGGAGAGGAAAGCCGATAAGACGGCTTATCCATATGGCGAACCACGGCCTCTCGTCCGGTTACCATTCCAAGTCGGGTATGGGATTAGTTTTTACTGTATTGTTTGTTTTCGGAAGTATGGACTTGGTGGTGGAGGAAGCCGTAACCGACCAGCGGTTACGTGAACCACCCAACGACGGCGAGGAGTCCAGCAATCCTCTCGCACATAACCATCCCTGCATGGGATTCGAACCTGCGAACCCACGCAGAGTAATTAGAGGTGCGGTGGCGAGCGTATTCCTAACGCTTAGCCCGTTGAGCCACACCGCCGCGCCATAAATGACCTCAATCTCACTGGCGGCCGTGGACCTTCTACAAAAACGTAATACGGCCTTTTATAGACAAAGATTGTACACCCCTGCTCTAGTCATTATATTTTCCATATAACCTAAACAACGTCAACGTTAGGGGAAAGTGTGGAAGGTTGGGACACTTTTTTCTTTTGCATTTTTTGAACTACATAATCTGCACATTTATTTGACATTGTGGGGCTAATGCATAGAAGGGTAACTGTAGTTTTTATTCGACGACTTAGAAATTCCATAGTGAAACATACAATACCACCAAAAGGGTTTGAGAAACGTTCGTCAAATGTCCCACTTAACCCCCGCCTGTGGGCACATTCGGACACACCCCGGGGCACAATGGGGCAGTCTGTTAAATTCAACAAAGTATGCCGTAAAATAGGCTAGGCATCAGTATTATCATCTAATTACAGAATTGTGCGACTACAAATTTGGAAACTCAATATTTTTGAAATCAATGTTCAACCAAAGTATTTCAGATCTTTTTTCAAAAAATTCCCCAAACAAACTTCCTGCATTGGCAACGTGAAACCACTTTGGGTGGGGACATTCGTATCTGAAGATTCCGCATTGTTGAATTACTTGTTGAATATTTTAGATTTCTATTATTAAATCTGAAATAAATTGTTTTACTTTTGGATTATGCCCAATTTCAAGCAATTGAAAATGAGTTCCGAAACTCCCATTCTCGACGGACGACGATAGATTTTTTTAAAAAGGTCATAAACATCAAATACGGGTTTTGAGTGCTGTACAAAAAGAACAAATATATATCAATGGTGTGATTTTTTCAATCACACAATTGTTTACTGCTTCCACTAAAACAAAACCAACATTTATATATTAACAAGTATAATTTCTTATTCCGGCCAAAGGCAACATATATATATATATATTTATTTTTTCGAATCTAAATTTAAAAAATATTTTTGAATCTAGAATATATATATTCCATATTGGGCCATGGGCCAAAAAATACTTCAATAACACGCACCTATGTGCTTCTAAGCACTTAGTGGATCAAACACTTTTAAATTGTGTCCAGTGGAGCATGTTCCACTAAATCCCGGTCCACTGTTCCCCATGGGAAAAAATATTTTCAGACCGTCCCACGTCGAGATTAGTGAAACACATCCACTCGCCAACTTTATGAATGTTTCACAGTGGACTAATACTAATAAATACTAGACAGTGGTTTGTCCTCTTGGAAAGCTTAAAGTAGAAAAAAGAAATTCATTGCCTGCGTCGCTTTGCACGGCCGCTGTTCGTTTAAACTTTAAAGGGACGCTGTGACTTGCCGAAAGGCGGATTCAAACATCGAACCTGATTCCGTAAATGTACGAGCGTGAGAGCTGATTTTCCGCTGTGCCCCATGTCCCAACTCCCCCTACTTTGTAACGCTTTTATCCCGACTATAATCCTGAGAAATAGAATTGATTTAGTAAAATAGAAAATTGATTTAACATACATTACATTGAATAGATTCATTTTATCGTAATCTTGTCTAAATTTGTAGCAGCTCGTTTGTAATCGACAATAGACAAGAGGGCACATTACGCGCTGAGCTAGCGTTTTTCATCTGGCCGTGCCGTATCCGCGCGAAATTTTTGACCTCATAGTATCTAAAATAGCGTCAATGCGTTTTCATCTGCCGCGGGGCTGCTAAATCCAAATTTTTAGATTTGATTCTTTTTATTTCTAGTGTGAGTGTTATTGTTTTAATTTGTAAATGAGCGTAATGTGCAAACCGAATTTCAACATTTTCTCGTGGCCGTCACGAAAATCTAAATTCAGGACTCGTTGAAGACAATATTTTTCAATTTATTGCAGGTTCTATCTGATTTTGATCACTTGCATTAACTCGATCCTTTGCTGGTCGTGGAAAAAAACACAGTGGGTCGGCGCAATACATAGTAGACTGCTGTTATATGACTCTCAAAACGTACTATAACATAAATAATGAAAGCTTAATGATTTCAACTGTAATATATAAAATAGCACAATTTCTTGGTACATAACATGCACTACAACTGATATATCTTGTATGATTCGATTAGATATTATCTGTAGAATATGGCATGTTTTTGACAGGAATATGAACACAATTATTTAAGCGAAAGAACAATTCCAATAGCAATGACTTCTCAGTCTTATTTCCATACTTGTAAATGGTATATGAGTCGAGATAAGGTCAATGCATGCACATGTTTACAAAATCAGATCTTAAAAGATGATGTTGTACAATTAATTCCATTATACACAAATGTATCATCAAAGGGGACATATTGAGCTGTAATCAGTTTTATAACTTCATGAGCAACAATTCCACCCATAAATGATGCAACAGCATGTAATTCAGCTGCTCCACATCTTGTCATTTCATGGATGTAATCGTCCTTCACAAGTTCCGATGAACCTGGGACTCCCCATTCTTCGAGTAATTCTTTCATACAAATCTAAAATATATGCCAATTATAAATAAGTGATTCTGCTGAGAATGGCTTAAAAGTTTTTTGCTGATAAAACCATATTACATTCAACACCGGAACTTCCATTCCAGAATTTCTCAGTCAAATCATAATTTTTATTTCCTGTACACCTTTCGCATCGAATATGGATTTTAACAAGAGCTATCGATGTACCCTAAGTTTTTTGCACCATGAATGGTGTCATGGTGGCATAACATTACTAGTTTATTGCACCCTGAGCATTGTGGTGGGATTCTTCGCTATGGAAAATCTAACATGTACAGCAATTTGCTGCAAGGAAAATGGTTCCATTTAAACAATCAAAAATGTATTTGACCTTTAATTTTCCAATATCGGTCTCAAGTTGAAGTTCATTTGTTCCAGGGTATCTACCATGTCTTGCTTGGAATCGTTCAACGGATCGAAACATCACATACCAAACTGCATTAGAATCAGGATCAGCTATTAATGATTCCACAAATGACTTTGAAGGCGATTGAAATTCTTTTTCCAAAGATCTGCACCTAAAGTTTTAAAGAATATGTAATAACCCACAAATAAATTTATTGTGCATTATTAAAAGTTTTATATGAGATTAAATATGACACCTGATTGTACGTAAGAAATGTGAATTTTTACAGAATCTTCTAATTTCTTTCTCAGATATTCTTCCATTTCTAGAATTCAAGCTTGCACAAATTTCGGATACATGTTCAGTCACTGCATTTGTATCTAATTCTGCTTGCTCCCTGAAAAAAAATGTAAAATCATCCATGATATTGAACAGTTGTTATGTAAATACACAACATTTCTAAACATGAATCTATAACTCAAAAACAGCATACTCCAAAGCACATTATACTTTGCCTCTTCAGAGTTGCATTACACATTTTATCATTCAAATGGTATAATTTCGAATATGTTGGCAAGATTTTGCTAATCTGAATTCTTATTAGCAGACAGCTGACAGCATGATAACAATTTAGGCGTAAAGACTTATCTTACTTGTACACTGACTGCAACTTGATATATCTTTCTGAATCTGATGTCATATCCGGGAGAGTGCCTCTTAATGGAAGCATACCATTTCCTGTAATATTGTTACAATAAAAATCTCTTGAAAATACATGAAAGTATGGAAATAAAAAAAAAAAATGTCCTTTCCTAAACTGTCATTTGAGACTTTTCCACCATGTCAGAAATTTGATATTTTGACACATTACATGTATGAAAATGGTATTTTATAGTTGTTTGACAGATTTCGATGATGATCAACACAATATAGAAAATAACATTTCTACAACAAAAATATAATGGAGAGTCAACACTTCACCCTCATTTTCAAAAAACATCTTCAGTCCTCTGACAAGAATCCAAAAATTTTTGCTACTTTCTTTTAAGTTGAGACATTCTTCGTCATTCAATAATTTCTGTACAGCTGATGGAATTCTACTTGCAACAAGTGATGCATTTGCGTGCCTGTAAAGATGGCAGCCCAAAATTTTGTGGAAAGTAATTTAAATGTAATTGTGGAAAAATGAAATGAGGATCTAGTTGCAATGTAATGAGGATCCAGATGGCTTGGCGGAAAGCAAATGATCCTTTATATCAGGGTCGGGAACCTTTTTGGTCAAGAGAGCCATAAAAGGTAAATATTTTCAGCTGCATTTCCGTGCGAGCCATATAGCATTTCTTTGCTTAATCAGGCGTGAAATTTTTACTCAAAAGTCAACACATACAATGTTATCATAATTTAATGTGATTTCTGATGATGCATGTTGTTGTTGCAGGCCTTAAAAGACTGCTCACTCACAGCACAAGTTGAAATCTACGATACCCGTCACCCTTCTTTTGTTTAGGCATCTCCCTACTATTTTAAAAACTAGCTTTGCTAGTCAAATCTAAAAATGACAAATACTGTAACCAGTACGTACAAAGGACAAAAAGCTTTTCTCTATTGCTCCGCGACTCCATCGGTTTGTGATGTCACAAAATGTGTTTCAGAATCCCCCAGTTTTGTCACAATGCCAGTCTGGTTATTCTCTCACATAACCTAGACATGCGCTGGGTGCGGGTTCTCAAATGTATTGGCATATTTTCTGTCAAATTTGACTATAAAGGAGTTTGAAATCTTGTAACAATAGTAAACTTAGCCTTAGAATACTAGATTTTACTGCGAGCCATATGCCGTCACCAAAAGAGCCATATATGGCTCGCGAGCCATGGGTTCCCGACCACTGCCTTACATGGAAAGAAAGAACTCATACTTTTCAGAAAAAATCTTCATTTGTGAATTTCACTTGGGATGTATTGTTCCCAACAAAATATTCCTAATAGGTAAAAACAAAATATTCACTTTGCTGCTTCTAAAAAGTTTTCTTCTTCCTCCTCTATTATTCCACTCTCTGATTCTTTCATTCGAACTCCAGATAGAAGTAGTTTTTTAAACGCAGTTTTTTCTTTCCAATTTGTTGGCATTTCTCCTTTGTCTTTTTTCCATTTCTCAAGGTATTTATACAAAAGTACAACATATGGAACATGAGAATGTTCCCTGAAATAGAGGGAGTGATATTGAAAATTAATGAATAAATAGATACATTCTATATAGCTATGTTTTATTATGCCATTACCAGTGACAAGGCGCTGAAGATAATTAAAGGATTGAACCCCAATTAAAATTTCTGACTGAAAATAAGGGAGTGAAAACTAAGTCTGAAAAACGGTGTTATAAAATACGAAAAATAAAACGAAAAACGCCATTTGCATTAGGAGCGCTGCGAGCCTGCGAGTGCGACAGATAATAAATACTCTTTTAGACATTGTGAATCACATGTCCTGCCAGCCAATTTGAAATCCAGGATGTGCCCATAGCAGAGATTGATGTTAGATACAGAGATAAGGAAATTGTCGCATGGCAATCGCAGCTCCATCCCATCCCTCCTCAAATTTTAGAAACCGGTTTAAAAAAGTATTATCTAAGTAGCTGTATGTGCAAATCTTTGTTCTAGTGAAAACGAGAAATGAAAAAACCAACTTGTATGTCATAACATCAAGGTCAAGTGAATCACAATAATTCTTGAGACCAGGAAATGGATTATCCAGTCGAAGATCCTCATGAGTGTTATCTGGATGAGATTCAACAACACAATGTTCCTGAACAATTAGTCTTGAATATCTGTGAAGAGCGAAACAAAGTTAGGGTTCACATGAAAATATATTAATTCAACAAATATTGTGAGAAACTTTGCTATAGGATCTAAATGGTATACAGCAGACGTGAATAACACGTCGATCACCATGTCCGGAGTGGTCGTTCGCGTATGATTTTGAGCCAATTTTATTAACAACATGCTAAAAGAATTGTCTCCAACTACAATTCACGCAAATGAAATTTCTATATCAATAATGAAAACGTTTCTAACAATTAATAGAACCATACCCTATAAATCCATATGATTTGCACAACACAAGCGGTATATTTTTCCCCCAAAGGAGCAAAGAAAGTTTCTTCAAAGTATCTTCTGGAATCAGACCAGAAACAATGACAACAGTAAAATGAGAGAATAACTTAGGATTATTCTCCAACAATTGGTCAATCGTTTCATCCATATATTCTCCAGATACATCAGGATTAAGTTCCAAAAGTAATTCAGTGGCAACCTAGAAATAGAAAAATAGGACAAATTGACGCAAAACCAGAAATATAGCATATTTAGTACTGATAAAAGCAAGATGGGCTGATATCAGGGATGGCCAATACCGAATAGTTCACTATTTCAAATACATTCGAAATTATTTTTTTCGAATATGAAATTTCGAATACTTCGAAAATAAAATCAACTAATTGAAGCTTACCTAAATGTATGTAGGAATTTCCATACAATAAGCAATGGAATAACTGCTATCTACAAGTTACAACCTAGCTATATTACCAGGCATTTCATATTTGCAGATTATTGCAGTATATATTTTATATACCATGAGTCATGTTAACAGAATTAAATTAATATGACAATAGTGGTATCGATGATGGATTTGAATATTTGCGCAACACAAAATCATCCTAGTAAAACGCCCATACTTTTAAATACCAACCATTATCCAAATTATTTGTCGAAGAGCGAGCGTGAGTACAAAAATACTAATCAAAAATTAATTATATTTGGGAACTTTACCACACATTTCAAGCCCGCAGATCGCCGTTGTATGTTTGAGTAATAATACTTTTATTATTTCATAAATATGAAAATAGGAATCAAAAACTATTTATAATCTGGTAGTTTATCACCCATTGTAAGTCCACAGATCGCCATTGTATTTTGTAAATACGAAAATCAGAATCAAAAATCAATATTAATTGCGAGTTTGCCACACAATATATGTCCACAGATTGCCGTGATATTGTGCCGAATATAATTAGTTTTGATTCTTATTTTCGTACTCACGAAAAATTGTCACGAGTCGGAAAAAGAATTTATATTTTATCACGCTATTGGAAACTAATTTGGATAATGGTTGCCAACTTGCCATTGGTTTGTATTATATTATATTATATTATATTGGATGATTTTGTGCTGCGCAAAATATTCGAATCCATGACCGATACCACTACTTAAAATGCCTTACCGTGTTAATTTAATTCTATTATCATAACTCAAATGTTGGTAAATCGGGCAGTTTACCACACATTTGAAGGCCACAGATCGCCGTGCATGTTAGAATTATTAGTTTTATTATTTTGTAAACACGAATACGAAATTAATTATAATTGGGCAGTTTACCACGTATTTCATGTCCACAAATACCCTTTGTATTTGGCATTAATTCGCTAATAATTTTATATGTTTGGAACCAGATCATGTTAGTTTGGTAGAATCATACTCACAGAATTAACTAACAATTTTAACAATTGAGCGGTAAATTTAAGTTGTAAAGCGGCAATCATTTTGGACAACCTATTAACCCGAATGTTGAAATAATTTTGGAATGTGATAAGTACTACACTGTACGTCCACTGGTTATTTCACAGCTGTTTTCCTGTCCCTGTCGTGATTTGCTGAATCGGCAAAACGAAAGGGTCACAAATCACTTTATCTTGGTGGACGTTTTTTTAAAGTAACGATAACCAGCCTGCGATTAAATACCATGATTGGCAGACCCTAAGACCCAAATATAAGGTTACACAAATCATGCTTGAGAAGACTCATGCGGATAATAAGCAGGCCACATAGAAATTAAATAAACATACTTTCTCAATTTTTCGACGTAATGGAAATGAATTCGTAAATTAAAAGCCTCGTACACGAATGTCGGCAATGTCCACCCATGCAAAAGTGCAAATGTGTCGCAACACTATGCGACGTACGGTCGCACAGAATATAAACAATCAAAGTGCCGATTCTATTTCATCGTCATTACGTGAGACAGCGTAAAAAGTCGTTTAAATATTCCCGTAAAATGAAACACCACGTTTACGACGAAAAGTGGCTACTATTCGGAATTATTCGAAAATCAGCCGAAAAGGTATTCGAATACTTTGATATTCGAATACTTTGACATTCGAATATTCGATTCGTTTTGGACAACCCTGGCTGATAATAATTTTGCTTGAATGAAATGAAGAAAATATTCAACTTTTTAAATTATCATCACTTAAGTCGAGTGTTTGTCAATACATAAATGGGATTGAGAAGAATAAAAAAAGGGTAGGAGGCCTTATCCTACAGATAAGCAGCATATAATGTACAAGTTACACAGGTAGTAGTCTTGGCAATGTTGGTACATTATCAAATCCACCCCTAATAATATTCGTTAGAAATGAATCTAATCAGAATATTCTTATTGTAATTGAATAATTAAGCAGTCATTTCTCACTTGATATGAAAATTTATGAAATATCAATTTCTTTCAACATAATATAATAATTACCTTAGCCCTTGAATCTCCAATTCTGTCAGAGTGCAAGAAAAAATTATTTCCAGCATCTTCTCCGGTTACACACTTACTATCGATGATTGTGAATGATCCAATACCTAATTTAAATACAAATTCAATTGGTTGAATATCCAAGTACCGTATTTATTCGATTATAACGCGCAAAATTTTGAACTGAATTTTAGGCAAAAATCAATGCTGCGCGTTATACACGAGGTCTGGGAAATGCGGTATTGAAAATGTGGTTTTAAACATCTGAAACGTGCGTGCGCTCGCGCATGCACATTCCAATGCAAGACGATTTCGTGCAAGCACACGCACATGCGACAGCTCAGCGTGCGTTTGACATTCGTGCAAGCGTTCGATTTCGTGCAAGCACACGCACATGCGACAGCTCAGCATGCGTTTGACATTCCCGCTGCGTTGAGAATATTTATTTGCCATTATCGTACTGTACTGTAGATACCCATTATATATTACCCATTATCTATTATGGCAAGACAAAAACGTTCTGCATATAGGGCTGCATTCAAACTGGAGGTTGTTGATTATGCGGAAACTCATGGAAATAGAAAAGCTTCTAGAGAATTCAATGTACCAGAGACAAATGTCAGAGATTGGAGAAAGCAGGAAGTTGTTCTAAAAGATATGAACAAAACAAAGAGAGCGCGGCGAGGGAGACAAGCCCAGTACCCAGAGTTGGAGAAGGAGCTTTATGATTGGATAGTTGATCAAAGATCTAGTGGGTACATCGTCACTTCGCTCCATATTAGACTCCGTGCACAAAAGATTTGCAAAGATTCAACATTTAAAGTAGGGATGCCACTTTTGGATTTACGAATCGGATCGATTCGAATCGCATCTTTTCCGGATCGATTCGAATCAGATTTACGCGATTCGGAAAAAGAGAGCGATTTAGCGAAAAAAAAAACATTGAACGTTTGTTAAATCGTCGTTTTCGGCGGCTTTAAATCTGCCAGAGTGTGTTTATGCGGCACTCCAAATAACGCCAAATTAAGGGACCGAAAAAAAAAACATTGAACGTGTGTTGATTGTTGTTTTCGGCGGTGTTAAAACTACCGAATGCGTTTATGCAGCACTCCAAATAACACCAAATTACGGGACCGAAAGAAAAACATTGAACATTTGTTAATCGTTGTTTTCGGTGGCGTTAAAACTGCCGAATGCGTTTATGCGGCACTCCAAATAGCAACAAATTACGGGACGTAAATAAATGAAAATGAATTTTTCGTGATTGACTTTTTTACTTGTCTGCCGTCATTTGTTTCAAGTTCGACACAACACACTCTTTTACGCATCACTCGAGATGATGTGTGGCGTAATTACCAGCAAACTGCGAGTTCAGTTTTCCACTAAATAGCCGAAGTTTCCATTATGCGCGAATTTAAATGGATCGTATACCTGAAAATTCGTGACAATTTTGATGAAAATTTTCAACAGCACACCTGCGCTGCGACTAAGTTATTGTACGCCCTGGCATGATTGGATAAAGAATCGGCCACCGACGTCTAGATAATGTTTAATTTTGATTGAAATTTAATTTAGACTTTGTTCTGAGAGCAATATTTTGCGTACATTTGAAGAGAACTATTACTGAATGAGTTCATCGGCCGGCAATGTTAATTGACAATCATGTTTCTCATCCTAAAATATATATTTATTTTGTTTGCGTTTGTCAGGCTTCCACTCGAGTGGCGATAAACGAAATCAGGGGGACATAATGTAATAGTACATACACGTCTTTTTTCAGCTGTTACAAAAAAAAGGAGTATTTACTTTTAATTTTGTTAGCGCGATACAAGCGAATAAAACATTTCGGATTATTTCGAGCAAATGTCATAACGGACAGGTGGGAGTAAATAATACTTGAGGAATGGCAACTTGTGCACTGTTTTACATCAACACGTGGCAGATTTCATACCAGACCGAGCATACTGTGCGAATGTCGTCTTACTTTAGCCCCAGCGACCATGTCCGATCGAGATAAAGCGTCAACCAATTATCGCTCGTCAGCGCGGCGTCCATTATGCACATTTGGACTTTCTGAATTACGAAATTAAACGTAGTCCACATTAATAATGGAGCCCGAGTTAGCCAATAACGCTGTTAGCCACAAATAATACTTTCTCTAATATTTATGGAAATTTTTGTTCGCAATCGTAGTCGGATGAACGATTGTTTTTATCGAATTTAATTTAATCGTGGTTAATTTTATCGTCTTCAATCATATTCTTGTAAGCATTTCCCATTTATAGTAATTCAGATGCAATTAGAATATTTTTGTCGTATTACTCTATGCTGCTAGCATAAATATAAAATATTGTACTAAGATTTTGAAGATAAAGAATCGGTAATAAGGCCGGCCTTAATTCAATATAACAAGAAGGGAAATACCACGGTCACATATACTGGTGTGGGACAAGGAAAAGCAGTGCTGTTACTGTGTTTACGACATAACAGTACAACTGTTCCCTGCTTATTTTCTCATATGAATTCCATCAAATTGCCTCAGCCCTGATACAAGTATAACACAATAACTCAGTATTGTAAGACTCACAGATAAGTTGCAACAGCAAGTTTTTCATCAATGCATTTATTAGTGATATCTATGACCTACATCTTTTTTATCATGATGAAAATAAGTGTGGCTTATTCACTGAAAAACCCTTATCATCCTTGCTATATAGCCTATTCCATTTTCAAATTTTTTTCTTCTAGATTTGAGCTTTTTTGTGACTTTGGGCAAACATACGCATGTAATAAAAAAAAAGCTTAATGGAATCAGATTCGGAAAGATTCGATTCGAAAAGTTTTGATTCGAGATTCGATTCGAAAAAAAATGTATCCAGAAGTGGCAACCCTACTTTAAAGCATCTAATGGTTGGGCACAAAAGTTTATGAGAAGGCATGGACTTGCACTACGCCAGAAAACAAAAATTGCACAAAAGTTGCCTCAAGATTTAGAAGAAAAGATCCATTTATTTCATACATTTATAATCAGTATGCGTAAGCAGCACAACTTTGAACTCTCACAGATAGGCAACATGGATGAAACTCCCATGACTTTCGACTTACCAGCCAGCAGAACAATTGACACCAAAGGAAAACGCACAATTCAAATCAGGACCACAGGTCATGAAAAGACTCACTTCACAGTAGTGTTGTCTTGCATGGCGGACGGCACAAAACTAAAACCTATGGTAATATTCAAAAGAAAGCGCATTCCAAAAGGAGAAAAATTTCCGCCAGGTGTTGTGATTCACTGTCATCCTAAAGGATGGATGGATGAGAAAGGGATCATTTTATGGCTCAACAAAGTTTGGGATGCTAGGCCAGGTGCCCTATTGAAGAAAAAGTCCATGCTCGTATGGGACCAGTTCCGATCACATTTGACAGACACTGTTAAGGCGAAGGTTAAAACTCTAAACACCTTTCAATCTGTGATTCCAGGTGGACTAACCTCTATTCTTCAGCCATTGGATGTCGTGTTAAATAAACCTTTCAAAGACAGAATTCGGGAGAAATGGATTGCCTGGATGAAAACCGTTGACAAAGAGTTGACTGCTGGAGGAAATCTTAAGAAGCCTGGTTTATGTCTTGTTACATCCTGGGTTAAGGCGTCATGGGAGGACATCCCAAAAGAAATGGTCATCAAAAGTTTTTTAAAGACGGGCATTAGCAATAGTATGGATGGTACAGAAGACGACTTGTTGTGGGATTCAAAATCAGGGTCAGAAGAAGAGGTTGAAAGTGATGTTCCCGCCGATTGGGACACTGATTTAAACATAACCCAAACAGAAATCGAACAGTTGTTTGGTGAATCAGAGACTGAATCCGATTTTGAAGAGTTTTGAATTACTGTGTGCTTTTAATAAATTTTTGTTCATGCTGTGAGTTGTTACCTTATGTGCTTACCAGTAGTTAGTAGAGAAAAAATAAAAAAAAGAATTTTATACCAATTTTCATTCAAAATTTAAAGGTGCGCGTTATAATTGAATAAATACGGTAAATCCAAATCTATAGTATAATTGATTTCAGGTATATGGATTGGAAGAAGATTTTTCATCTACAAAGTAAACTGAGGATCTGACTGAAAGATAGATATAAAAGGTATTACCATATTTCTCCTAGCATAATACGCACCTAGATTTTATTACAGCAATTACAAGATTTTTTCAAACTCCATGCATAATAGACATATCAAGTTACCGTTCCTCTCTTGCGTTGCAGGTGGTTTATGGTGATTTATGACAGTGAAGTTTTGCTGATTCAGCGAAATGAGAAAAACAAGATACAATGACAGCAGTTAGCGGATTTACAGCGTGTTCTTATCACTTTTAGTTCACTTTTTATTCTTACGCTTGAGTTAATGGACTGTTCAGCATTTTTTCTGTCTTTACTAACGCTAAATTTTCATGGAACTGGTTACGCTTCTACCAAATGAAGCATGATCTGATTCTAACAGAACTTAAGATTAATGTATGTGACAATTATGACTATGAGCTAGTTAAGCATAAAATAAGAATTAATATTTTTCTGATATTTTCTATACCAATGGATAATACGCACCGCATCCCCTTACCCTGAAGACTAAATTTGACCACGAAAGTGCGTATTATACGCGGAGAAATACGGTAATTCCTGATTAGGTAGCTATCACAGGTATCAAAAGCAGGTATTGGTATTAGATGAATAAAAAGTATCCGTAGTAGATAACTAGTTTAACTAGGAGTAGATGACTGAAAGGTTAGATATCACAGGTATCAGTATACAGGTATAGAATGGTATCAATAGCAGTTGACTAAAACGGTGATATCAGTAATACAAGAATGAAAAGGTAGCTATCACAGGTATCAGTAGTTGATGACTAAAGAGTATGTATTAGATGCGGACATCAGTATTTTTTCTTGGGTAAAAAACTAACTGAAAAACGCACGCAACCGAAATATTTGTATATATAGTAATTTTTATAAATAGTATATTTGGCAAGCTCTATAACGTGATTGTGATGTCGTAGTGTTTTAATTTTTGGATGGCGTAGTCAGATGGGGGTTAGGATTGACATATCAAAAAATTGTTATGCTACGCCCACTAGAAGTACGTTAGGTACGAAACTACACGAGACATCTAAATTCTACGACACTGTAAAATGGGTCTTACTACTTACTGAATACGGTACAGCGCGAAACACCGCAAAGAGCGCAAAACAGCGCAAAATAGCGCGAAACAGCGCAAAAAAGAGAGGAAAACAGCGCGAAACAGAAGGAAACCAGCGCAAAACAGAGGGAAACAGCGCAAATCAGGAGACGCAGTCATTACCACCTCCTGCCACGAAAGAACCACGGCGCCTCTCGCCATGGTTTTATGGCGCTATTTCCGGCATATTTACAAGGTTATGTACCGGATTATAGGTCATCATGCGAAATTTTATCTACCTTTTTGGTGCTCCAGAAGTATGTGCAGCAATATGTCGCACAACCTGAATCCGCTACACACACACATACTATTTTCAGGTTGTGCGCCATCTTGGTGCACATACTTCTGGAGGTCCCTTTCTACCTAACCCTAACCCTAAAGCCAACCATATCCATATCTGCATATGGAAAATGTTCTAAATTATGGTACCCAAAATGTGTCACCAGCAGGGGCAGACCTGCCATTACAGCATTACTGGCTACATACGTTGGTTTGTGTTTTAATTTGCTGCCGTGGTACTCCAACTCAAAACAAGGTGCCCCGAACTCATTGCAAAATTGTTTTCTGCTTCACACTGTTTCCCTCTGTTTTGCGCTGTTTCCACACTGTTTTGCGCTGTTTCGCGCTGTTTTGCGCTGTTTCGCGCTGTTTTGCGCTCTTTGCGGTGTTTTGCGCTGTATTCAGTAAGTAGTAAGACCGCTGTAAAATTCCGTAAATTCATAATTTTAGTTCAAGGTTGAATAGTCAAACCTGGTAAAACCATGTTTTTCAGCATTTCAGTTCCAGTGGCTGTAACATTGATGAGGCAGACCTTAGCGTTTTCTAATGATCTCTGACCATGGTCACCCCACAATCGTAACTGACGATCATACTTCTGCTGCTTATCCATCGCTAGTGCATTTGGATCCAAACTTCAGAAAACCAGTTCGAATATTTTTACACACAACATGCATCTGTAAACAAGATGACAAAATATGGGGAATTCCCTTGTATAAAGTTCAAAGGTTATAGATAGATAGATATCGGTAGTTTATTTTTAAAATTTCACAATCTGACAATACAAACAATTCAAAAACTATAATACGTACGATATGTTCCCGTTTATTATATGTTGAGTCAGCTGAACTATACAACTAATAATTACTTCGTAGTTACTACGGTATTGATGTTTCCCCGATTTCCAATCCAACTAGACTAGAATTAGCTACCAGAACCTATAAGAGGCACGTCGTTGAATGTTTCAATGAAGAAAAAATGATGATTTTAGACATGTGAACAAGTTTGTAAGCGCCAACTCTCCAAAGCAATATCATATTAACGATAAGGATCCAAGTTGTATTCTCTCATATGTACATGTTCATGTTCATATGTACTATATAGCTTTGGAAATATGGTATTTTAAATTTTTCACCCATTCATAGAAACTGCCTCATTCTCACTATTTGATTTTTGTCGAACATAAAGTAAAATTAAATTTGAGGAAATTATAATTAGGCTTACGCCCTTCTTAATTTTTCACTTCTTTTCGCATTTTATTTACTATTAAAAAAAGTATAACCTGCATAATCATGCGATGTTCTTTTTTCTTGTAATTTTCAATCTTTGATTGATGCCACCCTATTTGCAAATTAGAACAGCATTTCAGCGGATCATAATATGATGCAATATCATGCAAATCTCAGTGTATGCTATCAGATTTATAAAATGGATAGGAATTCACAATCTTATATATGGATTCTTCATATGTCTTTGTGAAAATTATTGAAGATACTATTATATATAGTCTGAAGTAATAATTATATGTACTATATAGCTTGGGAAGTATGGTATTTTTAATTTTTCACCTATTCATAGAAATTGCCTCATTCTCACGATTTGATTCGTGTCCAACATAAAGTATAAATAATTGTAATTAGCCCGACGCCCTTCTTATTCTTTCTTGCATTTTCAATTACTATTAAAAACATGATCTGCGTAAGCATGTGATGTTCTTGTTCCTTGTAATTTTTATTCCTATTCCAATACTTTCGGGGAATTGATTTCTGGGGCCTCTCAACCGGGCTTAAAACTCAAAAATTTATATTTCTTCTATTGTTATTATGATGCCTGCTTTAGAGTGTCCTGCCTTGGTAGAATCTTACCTTAGGGGTCGGTCGACCTTGTTGACCTTGGAAGTCTTGCCCGTCCCCTTCCGTATACATTTTTATGCTTATTGTTATTTGCTCATGCTTATTGTATTATGTACTTGTATCGGAAATAAATCATTATCTATCTATCTCTAAGTCTCCCCAAGTATCTCTCTCTCCCTCTCTAAGTCTCTCTCTCTCCCCAAGTTTGGGTGGTAACTGACTTTGACGACCCCCAAAGGTCGTATCGTTGCTTCCCAGTCATATACCGAAAACATCTGTTTATTTGAATAAACTCTCTCTCTCTCTCTCTCTCTCTCTAGTCTAGAATACTGTATGTTACAAATCAACTCCTAGGCATAGGAGACAGATACGTATACAGATATTGTATACGCTGCGTAAAATATTCAAGTTTCAACTATCCACCCAGTTTTCTGCTGAAGTGCTCATTCTGCTGCCTGTGTATGTCAATGGCAAAAATACTGATTATCTGGGTACAACCGTAAATATATACTACTACCGTAGTAGTATATATTTACGGTACAACATCTCCGAAAAAAGTTACGTCATCCTTTACTTTTTGCTGATTGGCCATTGTTACAGAAAAAATAAACAAGAAAATCGATGCTCGGGGAAACATACATATTAAATATTTCTCTCTCCCTACTGCCCTAGCCAAATATTCAATTTGGGCATACAGGCATAGCGCATAGCGGGATTGCTGCATTTTGTTTAAGTTGTTGTAGCAGTACGGTATTGGTATTCAGGTGTTAGTACCGGTATTTATTTACGGTTCAGGTACGAAACGACTGCAATACGGCAGTCGCAATTTCAGTGACGCCAGCCCACTTTCAGAGTTTTGATGTAGGCTAGCCGCCTGCACATTTGATTGTCTGATTGTGGGGATTGGTTTTGTTATTGAAGAATATGTTATGTTATTACTGTGTTAGTCCCTCACCTAAATTCCAGAATTCATTACGGTTTTTTTTCTAAATCAAACTCCATAAATATATGGATGGTTAACCCTCCGTCTCCCATGTCTGCATGTAGAATTGCTGAATTGTGGGGTTCAAGTTATCCTAATATAGGTAACTTTATGCCATTTTGTTTACCAACCTTTCTTTTGGGTAAAACATGATGAATGAAGAGCTTGCCAATGATTTCGACATTATTGTTGTTGGGACAGGTGAGTACAAGATATTTAATGAAAATACACATTGAGATCTATCAGTCGTCAACGTTAGATGTGATTTGCATGAAGTTTTCAATTGACTCCCGATGTCGGGATGTTGAAACAGTTTAGATTTTCAAAACCACAAAGTTTCATTCTCAATTCTCCCTGGTCAACAAAATATTTTTATCGTAGTGCTTCTAAATAAAATATTCACTTATTCTGTATTCAATTAGGACAAGGTCAAATCCTTTCTGCATTTCTGCCACACACTTTTAGGCTAGTATCGTCCAATGCAATGCAAATGGTCTTTAGCATTGTTAACATTGCAATCTTGTCTATACAGCTATATATACCTTTGCAGGACGAGTAGGCAGACACACACTTTAGTGTCATTGGGCCTTATTCCAACGAAGTTGCCTATAACTCCAATCGAATGCCATACACCAATTCATTTATATGTCCCCTTTTTGCTTTATATTATAATTTTTGGTAAGGTAAACCATAATCCCGTTATCATATATATAGGCCTCTATATAGCCTATATATAGTTTGGAAGTGCAACTAACTGCGTGTTATAACAGATGAATTAATATCAAGTTTGTCTTACACTGAAATCCTTCAAAATATTCTATTTAGCTTGAGAACGTTTCTCCAGTTTGTGATACCATTACTGCTTTAACATGACTGCATGATGAGTTGATCAACTGGAATGTAAATAGTTCAGCAACATTAAGTTCCTTTGTTGTATGTACAATTTTACTTTTTATCCCTCAATTATGTTAAGCAAGTTTTGCCAGGCCTATTACAGTAATATTGTTATCTGAATCGCCATTGCAGAAGGTTCAATTGTTCCTATCGGCCATCACGAGATGGTAAATTTATGCTTTTATTACCTCAGGTCTTTCAGAATCGATATTATCAGGAGCACTGTCGCGTATTGGGAAGAGAGTTCTTCATCTGGATCAAAATAAATACTATGGAAGTAATTGGTCTTCATTTAATCTACGAGCATTTGAAGCTTGGATTGAAGAAAGAGATGGTGAGTATAATTTACTATTTGAAAGATAGCAAACTACTTTGTGTGATGAAATGGATGAGGCTGATATAAATTTTGTTCCACATTTAATTAAGTCTCATCCGGTCATCCGGTCGAAACTTGTAAAATATTGTGCATGTAAAATAGTTGAAACTTTTTTTCAACTTTATCTTGTTATCAAACAGATGATGCCAGAGTCTCAGTGAATGAGATTTCACAGGAAATAAACAATGAAACTGAAGAATTAGTAATTGTAGGAAATATTCGTAAAACCACTCAACAAGGAGTAGTGAAATGTTATCTACCGTAAGTTTATTCACCATAAGTTAGTCACCATTTACTCATCATGCCATCATTTATTCCTGTTATCAAGCATCTTCAAGTCAAGGTTCATTCATTTCCTGCTAGACAACTGAGTGAGAGTTGAAGGTTTTGATGTGACTCTATAAATGATCATAAAATCGATGATCCATGAATGCAAAATCATGATAATGATGGGATAGTCATTGAAGACATGGGAATATACTTTGAAACTGGGTATTTACTAATAGGGGTCATAAAATAGATGACACAAAATATTGGCTTAATATGCTTGGAGTGTTTTCTTCGATCAGTATCAGTTAAAACTGGAGCTCGACCGATATACCGATATATCGGGCCGATATTGCGTGTTTGCCGATATATCATATCGGCCGCATACCGCCGATATATATCGGCCATACTCGGCAAGCGCCGGGCTGCGTGCTGCAACAGCTCTCGCCCCTGCGTATATTTCTCTCGCTTTCATTTTGCGTTATAAGGGTGTCTCTCCTAATTCCCGGAAACATGAAACAGGTAGCTCAAAGCAATAATGTCAGTTCGGAATTTGTGACCTCCCAAAATTCCAATTTTGAATTTATGGGGTAACAGTTTTGTCTATATTGATGGTTGTTTATCATTTTGCTGAAAATTACAAAATAAAAACTTAATCCATTATTATTGACTAAATAAGGTATTGAGAGTCTCTGGAAACAAAGTTATTAAAAATTTGACATGTAACTGCACATATGCTATCACAATATCGAAGGATCATTATCACGATTCACTTTAAAATATATCAATTTATATTTTTTCAATACCCCTAACATATGTCCATACTATAGACTCACAAGGTGCATTATAAAAGCGGGGCTCAAAATATGATTAATATTAATATCGGCATTGCGATATCGGTTATCGGCCATTTGGCCGATATATCGGTATTAGCGTCAAAAAGTGATATCGGTCGAGCTCTAGTTAAAACTCGTTAAAAACTATTATTAATAATGTTCAAATTATTTCACAGTGATGTCCCTAAACCAAGTAGTCAATTGGACCAAGATCTTCCACTAGCAGACGAACTAAAATCTGATGTAAATTCGAAAAGCAAAGATGTCTCTGGCGAAGGGAATGATCAAAGCTTTACTCAACATGCTCAAAGAAGTCCAGTGTCAGAGGATATTGAGACAATACAGCAAATTGATCAAAAACAAATGGAAGACTTAGAAACAATGGATAATGGTGCTGACAAACAGGAAGTAATGTTGGGATATTTCATACTAGACCAGAGATTATTATTTATGAGTGTTTCAGAAGGGGAGCCTACTAGCTTGGCATAGCTCCTCCTTGGTCGGACTATGATTTAATTCCAGATATCTGATTTGACAATATTCACTGTTATATCTTGCCAAATATTTAGGTTCTGATATTAATAAAAACAATGTATTTTAATTTTCAAGTTTATTTATTTTTTTTTTAATTTTTCCAAAATTTACTAAACTTTCTGCAGACTGAAACTAAAAATGAAGAACTAAAAAACAGTGAAGAAGCCGTAGAAAAAATTGGAGAGAGTAGTGGAATTTTAAAAAATTTAGCAAAACAGGATAATTCTAAATCTATTATTGATGATAACTCGAAAGAATATTTTTATTCAAAATGGAGACATTATAACTTGGATCTAGCTCCAAAGGTTAGTGGACTTTAGTACCAGAGTATTGATTTGAATTATTGACCTTCTCGAAAAAATTAAATCTTAATGCTTCCCATGACTACTTATTTTGGCGCTCCAGAAGTATGTGCACCAAGATGGCGGACACCGGAACGTCGTATGTGTACCTGGTTCGGGTCAGGCCATAATTTTATTTCAATCTTCCTTATTTTAGTTCTCTTACGTGATCGGTGACTAGCCAAGTGACTTTTGTTGTATTTGTACCTAAAATTATGGCCCAACCTTAACCTGCTACACATACGGCGTTCCGGTGTCAGCCATCTTGGTGCACATGCTTCTGGAGTACCCTTTTTTTAGGTAATTATCAATAACTATTTTTAAACAAGCTTCCAGGCAAACACCAGTATTTAATGAGGAAGCTGAAACTATTTGAATTATTCTATTTCGGCATAGTCTGGCTGCCTCCTATATTGGTGATGGAATGGGTGTAGGGTTCAGAGGAAGTATTCCAAACTGTGCCAAGAATTTTTTGTTTTTGAATGTGTGTTCTCATAATTATTTGGGCCTGACTCAACGTGACCTCAATACAATGAGATTTTGTTGTCTCTGAATTATTGCCGACTCGGTTCTTCCTTTTGTCATTGCTTAACATTTTTCGACTCAATGGAATGGGTTAGCAGCATTGATGACCATTGTCGGTCTAGCAAACTAACCCCGACAAAACAATATTATGAAACAAGCTGAAAATTTGTATTCAATATAGAAAGTGTTGTTCTGTGAGGATAAAATCTCTCTCTCTCCATAATTTCAACAAACTTTTTCTATTCTATAAAAAGAGGAAATTTTAGCAGGTGGTTACTGATCTGAATTTCATTATTATTCTATCCTCTAATACAGTTGATGTTTTCAAGAGGGAAATTGGTTGATTTACTTATTACATCTAATGTTAGTCGATATCTCGAATTTCGGAATGTTACAAGAACTTTAACTTTACTCAATAATGGTGAGAATACTCTTCCAAAATTAGCTCCAGTTCCATGCTCTCGGACAGATGTGTTTACAAGCAAGTAAGGAGTCTAACTATATTCTATCATTATGGTGCAATAATCTCCTGTTTGACAGGCCTTCCAAAATTTGGTATTGAGTGCACAAATTGGAATATAATCTGTTAAAATAAATTTATTAAACTTTGCAATTATAGCTATTGTCATATCGGATCATACTAGGAAAAGACCTTGCTTCGCTACGTACTTCAATTTTCCTATCTCAGTTTCATCATAAGAATGTTATTTGCTATGATCTTGGTATAGGCTGATTACAGCCATAGGCTGATGATGCTTTTGGATTATGACTTGTTTAATTTGTGTTTTAGGTATGAATAATTATGTACCGTACCTCAAAAACATTTGATATTGTTTTAATAATATGTTTCTAGATTTGTTACCATGATTGAAAAACGAATGTTAATGAGAGTATTAACTATGTGTGCGAATTATGAAAGCCACCCTGAAGAATATGCAGGTATATACGGTACTTTGAAATATTTGAATTAGTTTATAAATAAACTTTTGATATTTAATCCTTGTTTTTCAGAATTTGAGGATAAAAAATTTATTGAATTTCTTGCTGCGAAAAAACTCAGCAAAAAACTACAACATTTCATATTGCATTCAATATCAATGGTTGATGAGAATACAAATACTGTAGAAGGACTTAAGGCAACTCAAAAATTCTTGAATTCTCTTGGTCGCTATGGAAATAGTGCATTCTTATGGCCACTATATGGTGTTGGGGAGCTACCACAGGCATTTTGCAGGTAACCACTCTAGAATAGTCAAGATTCATTCTCGCAAAAAAAATAAAAGGTATACCATAGTCCAGGCCTGCCCAACCTTTTTCGTCTCGTGGGCCACTTTCACATAACGAAATTCGTTGCGGGCTGCAAACGTTTGTAACAAACTTTAATACTAGCCAAGTCCCGATTTCGTTAGAATTTACATAATATATAAAAGGCAAATATATTACGGTAACATAAAATCAATCAAGTTAATAAATATTTTCTGGTTACTGATTAGTGCTGGCAAAATATTCGAATATCAGCAGTTTACTATTCGAATATCTGTTAACATGGGGCGTGGACATGACATTCGCGAGTCGCTCATTCAAAAAATCAATCATTACACAACGCACTTGTGGATTTCTGACGGCCACACGAGAATCTGCACACAGTTTTCACTAACAAACAAAGACGTCAAAATTGAGTCTTATATTTGAGTCATGGTGTTTTTTATTTATTTATTTTCAGTGGCTATGATATTTGAGCGTAATGTGCGCCAATGTCGCGAAAACATCAAATTTTAGTGGGCCGTTTCGTAAAATTTGAAACTTCAATACAAGTATTTAATGAAGAAACATTACAAAGACTTCTGGACAAATATATATACTAATTTGATTGGTAAAATTGCCATTTAGGTCAATTTTATCAGAATTATTTACGGATACGCAGTGACGATATTTCCAAATTGTTATTTAACGCAAACATAACATACACAAAAATACAAACATAAAAGAACAACGTGTCCCGGAGCCAGGAGCAAAGATATTGTTGACTTTTTATTTTACGTCGGCGATAAACATGATCAAAGCCTACAATCAGAGTGAAACTAATTTGGGAATTTAGGTTCCAAATTCATTCCTATAATTGTGCTCAACATTCGTCGCCAATGATCGAACAATCAAGCTCGTCGAACAAAACGCACAGTTCTGCGAGAAATAAAAGAATCTTAACGTCGAAGTCCATCAGGGCGCAAGACTTGATACATACATAACAATAGGAATCGGCATCCGGATGTAGACAGATGGATGGAATAATCACACAAAAACCACGAAACAAACTTTCGCCTATATAACATAGTAAAAATTCAAAAAGTTTGCTCACAAAATTTATAGTGCGGGCCGCAAAAAACAGTCCGGCGGGCCGCGGGTTGGGCACCTATGCCATAGTCCATAGGCTGCAAATTGGACAGATTTCTTCAAATCCCATCACCTTAATTTTTTTGTAATATATTGAATTTATTGGTCCTTGGCCACCTTATATAGACACCTCCATTTTATAGGCATTGTTACAAGTTGTTTGATGATAGATATTCCCTGTTTGTAACTTGTACTAATTAATGTGAATATTCATAATTTGTCATAAATATTTTATGCTTATTAAAGGGTTTTCTTAAAATTATCAAAAATGTAATATTAAATGTTTTCAATATTCATTCTGATTTCTTCAGGCCCTCATATCAACATGTCTGTTTGTTTAAACCCTCTCACTCTGCCTTGATTACACTTACCTGGAAGCTGTTTTATATCTACTATTTTTCACAACATCAAATTGAATTGATAAGAATAATAAATATACTTCCAGATTAGGAGCTGTTTTCGGTGGAACATTTTGTTTGAGCAGATCTCTCCATGCTCTTATAATCAACAAAGAAAGCAAAAAATGTGTTGGGATTATCGATTCAACAGGTACGTGTAAGTGTAACACAGAAATAAAATAGGTAGTTATGCTAAATAGGCATTTTCTAACCCATCTTATTTGTATATTGAGTGTTTGTTATCCATTTCTGAATATGTCTATGTGCATCTATGTGTCTCATCTATTCGTGTTAATAATTGTCAGGCTTCAACATATGATGTGCGTGTACCCCAACCCAACACCGCCAGCAGTTGTTGCCATTGCATCTCTAATTGCCTTCGTGGGTACTCACCGGATCGTAGTATGTTTTAGGGTTAGACCATAATTTTAGGTACAAATACTACGGGAGTCACTTGGCTAGTCCCCGAACTAGTAATAGAACTAAAATAAGGAAAAAATTGGAATAAAATTATGGCCTAACCCTAACCTGGTACACATACTATGTTCTGGTGTTCGCCATCTTGGTTCACATTCTACGGGAGTACCCCTTCATAGGTTTGCAGGGTGATTCACATATACCCGCTGTTACGTTATGGTGCATCCCAACCATTTATTTTTTATTGCAAATCGGTAAATATGAAATTCTATCTTGTCCCAAAGTTCATTAAGTTAGACAGGTCACTAGGTTAATAATAATAAAGATTTACAATGCATAAATATTCCATAATAAAAATCATGTTTTATATCATTATTTACTTTAGGTCAAAGACTTCGAAGTGAGCAATTAATACTAGACGAATGTTATGTTCCAGAAATTAATTGCAATAAATTTACGAACATTATATCAAGAGCGATATATGTCACTGATTGTTCATTACTACAGGCTGATAAAGAAAATGTGAGTGCTTGGAAACTAAATATCAGGATTATATACATAAATGATCTCTGAAGTTGCTTAAATAACTTGAGTTAATTTCCAAATACCGGTATTACTATTTCAACAAGGTTGAAATTTCATATTTCAGATAATCTCAATTGATTGTTGTCATGCACAATTGATTAGGATTCTACCTTCTGAATTTTTTGAAAATTGAAGGTATTGTTTCATAAACACATGGACATGTTTTTTCAGATGTCTCTTATTACAATACCACCCATGTTAGACTTACCATCATCTCGTCTTATTGAACTCGGTCCATCAAGTTGTGTGTGTCCTCCGAAATATCGTAAGTATCAACTTCACAACATAACAGAAAGTTAGTTAAGAACTGAATACATCTGATTTGATTTAGTTTTTTTTTTGTTATTTGTTTTTACAATGATCTATAGCAGGGATGACGAACTATTTTCAATGATTTTTCGTCGGAAAAAGACTGTGGGTTAGTTACTTTGTTCGCCTGATCTATAGCAATTTACCATATTTTATACAGAAGCATCCCCAACACGTCATTAATTCAATTCCACTGATTGAATTATTTTTAATTTTGATGGTGTTATTGGTTAATAAATATTAATAACTAAGATAAGTCAGACCTTTTGATGTTTTCTATCACTTACGGGCACGGCCTAAAAATACTTTCAAGATATATTTGACTTAAAAATTTATATATATTTTGCAGATGTTGTCCACGCTATGACAAGCATTGAGTCAACATCTGAAGATTTTCTGCCTTCACCTCAATCAAAATTTTGTAAAATGGAAGAAATTTTATTTGATAAAATTGATCAGATCAGTGATGCTGATGTATCAAAACAAGGTCAATATGTACGGTATTCATAATTTATGAACTCAGAAGAGTGTTGTCATACGAAACTTATTAGATTAAACTTTTAAGTTGTTCTTGCTTGAACTAATTTTGGGTATTATTGATCAACATAAACCATAAATTCATTTCTAGAAAGTAAATCAACAGAACAAGAAGCAACTCAAACCTCACACTCAGTGGTGGAGTCTGAATGTGAAAAGGCAAAAAAACCTCGAGTGCTTTGGTCAGCTTACTTTAATATGTTGAGTGGAGGAGTCAAAACCCAGTCTCTGCCCAGCAATCTTTATGTAACAAAAGGACCGAATATGGATCTTGGATTTGATGAGACTGTTTCAGAAGTAAACTAGACTGTTTTCTATTTTAAAACTTGGGGGTTGTTTGAGCTTTATCTTAGGCGAATCACTAGCGTTCGTATTGTCTGCCTTTTTTTTGCTGGATTAAGCTAAATCGTAGATATATGCATGGCATATTTCATCAGGAATTTTTTGATAGGACTTGAATATTGAGGATTTCTCATTTAAGTGCAATACTAGTCACTCAGTCAGCGGTTTATTTTTTTACATATCGAAAATACGAATGTGTACAAACAGTGAGGTAAAGTAAAAATGATGTATTTCTGCATGGAGGGAGACGTGATAAACCAGTAATGGTTATCGAGCAGCGCCACCTATGGGAGAGTCTAACATTGAAACATACATAGATGAAAGAACACTGATAATATTTACTAACAGAAGCCGGCCTTTTAAGTACGTTAAAGCGAACTGGTCTTTCCAGTATCGCTTGTGGTAATAAGAGAGATAGACTCCAGGCAACATGGGAACCGCAGTAAATGGAAATCACATCGGGTATTTGTTAAAACAACAAAAGATTGGTAAATAAAAGGTCTTACTTTCTGTTGTTTCTTTTAGGCTCAGCGTCTTTTTGAAGCTATCTGTCCAGATGAAGAATTTTTGCCACGAGCTCCGAATCCAGATGAAATTGTTTATTTTGATCAAGACGACGAAGGTTATACCACAGAAACCAATGGTACACAGAATGATAGGCAACAACAGCAAGATATGAGAGAATACCAAGAAGATGAAAGTGAGGTGGATGCAGGAACTGGGGAACCACCAGATCAAGTGCAAACTTCAGAGGAAGTAATTTAGCAAATAATCGTTTACTGTTTTTTTAATATCTCTAGAATCAAGAGACAAATGAGACATTATAAAAAAACTGAAGTTTGATTTGATTTTCTTGACTGCAGCAATGTAATTGCCTTTGATTCATTCAGTCTAGCCATCTGGAAGTTTCATGTTGTTTCCAAATTCCAATACCTTCAGTTATTTGAAATCAGTCATTTCTAGGCCTTTCACTACTCAAAAAAAGTGCGTTATATATCTGATATTAAGATAGCATATTCAGCATTGTGCATGTGGTCTCTCATTAAACAAATTCGAATAAAAAATTATTTATTGCTACTTAAACCCTTATATATTTGGTGATTGTGCCTAATTTTTTCATTTTGTTTAATACTTCTTACAGATTCCCAATGATTCTGCACAATTTGGTGATCTGGATTCAAAAACCTTGTAAATTAAATCAACATTGCATGTGATAATATACAGGCCGTTTGCTCTATCTACTGTATACCAATCATCATTTAACTCTTGTCAAAATGTATAGTGTTAGATGTGGCATGTGTTTGATAATCAGAACTGAAAAAGGTAGCGATTTTCAGCGTTGGATCAAGTGTTCATAGTTAGCAGTTCTGTCGTAATATTCAAGAGGAATTTTGTTTGAAAGTGTAAATAACGAATAAGAGGTTCCTTTTTATCAGAAGCTAAACAAAAAAATTGAACAATTTATTCAAGTATCTGGGGCATATTCCGATATTGAAATTTACTACAATTCCTATAAATAATGGAGCAATTAATGTACAGGGTATGTGCAAATCAGTAAAATAGTAAACAAGCTATTTGTCAATTCTTTTAAATTTGTGTCACTCATGTGATGTAAATTTACTGAATATTTCTTGCACACAAGCCAGATCCTTCTACTCGAACCTGGTATTGCATCGATAGATGAAAATTTTTGCCTGCTTTTTATGTCTTCTCATCCTGCTACTTCGAGCTAATAAAACTGGGATGAGGTTTTAAAAAGGTATCAAATTTTGGAAAGCACTTCTATAATCAATATTTTGTAGTATTACTTTATTTCTAAGTGTTACGATTCGAAGTGAGTTTTACACAAATTATACAGCAGATTTGTCGCAGGTCAATATATCGTTCTCTTCAATATATACAGTATATCTTTTTATTTATATTGTCCGCATGTTTTTGTGCAATAAATTGTCATCCAAAGAAGTGTGCCGGGATGTAGAGGTGTTTGTATTTGTCTCTTTGCTTTCGCGGGGTTATTTTAGATCTTTTTCTATGAATATGTCAACAACTGCTAGTGTCGATTATAGCCCGAGATATCTGTTATGTTTAATATTTCTGAGAGTTTTCTTATCAAAATACGCTAAAGAACGAACATTTGGTAGGAGCGTTTGTTTATAAGAGTTGATAGTTTCCGGGTAATAGGCCACTGGTTTTGATTACCTCGCTGTGGAAAGTTCTTCAAGATTATACAAAAAGCGAAACCCGGATTTATTTATTACGCGAACTATCAAACCGCTTTTTAGTATGTAGGCCTATATTAAAACTGTAATCAATGGTGAACAGTGGGTTTCAAACCGTGTAGCGCAACACACAGATCGGGCGTGGAGCTTATGGGATTGACAAGGAAGCAATTGTTCTTATTCTTATTGAATATAAAATGCAGATTAATATTAATTTCCCCCCGTTAATATTGGATGTTTCATAAACTGGCTCCAGCTTTCCAACTATTCTGACGCCGTCTGGCTCAGTGGTTCCCAACTGCTGTTCCGCGAAGTTCATTTGCAGGTCGATCACGATTCAGAGCTACAGCTGCCTCGCATCCCAACAACGAGATCCAAACACTGGCTATTTGCCCGCGGTAGAACCAGAAAGACAGCGATATCGTTTCCCGGAGTGTGATATCAAGCAGGTATATTAATGGGTATATTAATGATCAACAATGTGGTGTACTGTCTATTTCCTGCCATCCAACTTCGTTCATTATTTATACTTATGTCGCGATGTGCACAAGTATATATTTACATGAACGAGTGTATCAATTTGATCCACTAAATTTTTTCTCTTACATGATGATTTTGATCGTTAAAATAATTGAAAAATCGAATTCTACGGCCTTGAATTACCCAATAACAAAACGGCGATTTTGTAAGAGATGATCGACTGATGGGAATTGTTTTCAAAATCAGGATATATATTTACATTTTATACCTAAATTTTTATATGCCATGTTGCAGCAGTGAAAATGAAGACTTGTTCGTCTCTTCATATATATATATATATACAGTATATTGTAAATTTCAGTCTATCATCGAAAACTTTTTTATTTCCATTATTGTAATCATTTGTGATTTCAATGCTAGTAATTCAACTATTTTTGGTCGTTTATTAAAACATTTCTTAGAAAATGGTGTCATTTTATCTGATCTAGGACTTCTCCAGCCTGATTCCTTCACATAAGTAAGTTGTGCCCACCAACCAGTTGGTTAGATTTCAGTGGTTATCAAACTTTTTTGTACCGTCGCCCCCTTAATTAATTAAAGCACTTTTTACGTTATCATCGCCCCCCAACATTACAACAAAACATGAAATTACAAACAAATTTATTGCTAAAAAATGAAACGAATAGACTTATCTTTAGTCAGGTACAATCTTAAATCATCATCATTGTTTGATTTGATGACCCCATTTCTACCAAATAAGATGTTACTCCTGTAAAATGCTATAGATAACTTGCACTAAAGTATCGAAAATCGGAAATAGAAATTCAGATCGAAACAGTTCTCTCTCGCGATTATGCCATTTTTAAAATTACCGATTTTTTCAGCGATGATTATTTTTATGTTGCGCAAAATATTCAGTCCGGAGTCGATACGAGTATTAACAAGGATTTGCGTTATTCAATTTAATTATTTTCAACGTGACTCGCCGTTGCGGCTATACTTACAATAAACTAAAAGTATTATTACTCTGAAATATTACAATCTGTGTACATAAAAATATAAGGTATACTTCCCGATTATCATTAGAATATATTCGCATTTTTACGATCTTGGTTAATAGTTGAATTTGAGTCGTGAATATCACCGTTAGCTAAATCCCAAGATCGACGATGAAATTTTGCATTATCACATTGATTAGTTTTATATCATTATAACAATAAGAATAGAAGTCGTGTGCAATCCGGCGATAATTGAATAATGGAATGGAACAACTTCAGGTGACTAGTGACTACGGTATAGTTTCCGATCGAAAATTGTGAAATTTTCTGATACAACCACGTATAAATTAGTTTTTAATCTGCCGCGGCACTCCTAAAACAAAATTAATGGTTTTTCCGTTTTATATATACATATATATAGCACCGCTTTTCACATCTTATTTTTCAGTTGAAATTGGCTTCGCCCATTCAATCCGTTGTATTTAGTGTCTCGTCTCAGATGATCGCTTAATAACGTGTTTTTCACACTTCACGCACAGTTCCGGGCGTGAAAAAAGTCCTCTGGCTCATGTTTGGTGTAATACTTGTGAGATAGGGAGAATTCGCGGAAATTTACTTCATCGATATCATACTGTTCTCACGGCCTAAATACCCACATCATGCTGAAGAAAACATTCGGCGATTTCAACCCTATTTGACTTTTCGAGAATGTGCAATCGCCTCCCTGTTACCCCTCTCGAAATTTTCGCCCCCTGTTTCATCACTTTCTCCCCCGGGGGGGCGATATCGCGCACTTTGAGAACCACTGCATTAGATCATTGCATTAGAAGTGTGAATATGCATAATCCTATTGATCTATAGATGTTATCCAAGACATTATAATTCCAGATCACATCCTTTTATCCGTGTCAATCAATGTTTTATATATTCCTCTCATGTATGATTCAAAAAGTGACCATGTAGTCGAACAATTTGTTTCCCAGGGCTCAGCTTCAACATCACAGCTGAACCAATATTCTGACTCGAGTTTTAAAAATCTAAGTTCTTTGGGCTATTCGATGTCGTAATACCGACTGTCAGTCTCACAGTGAAAGCAGCATTGATAAATTCAACCATGATATTTGTTCTGCCCTGAGTTCACAGTCTCACAAGGTTGAAATGGTGCATGTTAGATCAATGTGTGAGCACTTCGAGCCCAATCCTGGATGGAACTGTGAAGTCCGGGACTCTTTCATAACTGCTCGACAAGCATAAATTCAGTGCGTTTATCATAACAATCCTCGCCATGGCTGTATTGTAATGCATATACATGTTAGAACAAAATTGCATTTCAAACGATTGTTACGAGCTCGTAAAAGAGAGCGTACAAAAAATCAATGTGGTGCTATTGCCAAATCATTATTGTGTATCTGTCCTAAACAATTCTGGTCTCGAGCTAAGCAGATTACTTCAGATAACTTCTCACTTTCAGCTAGTTTTGGGGTACCGCTGGGAAGAAAGAAATTACTAATAGCCTTATATGTGGTAAAATCCTTTTGAAGAAATTTGTAATAGTGTTTCCAATGAAAAAGATAAGTATTTTGTGTTATTATTTTCGAATTCTGACTTTGATAACTGTTTTAGTAATTACTTCCTTACTGTTAATGCACTTGAAAGTATTATTTCTTCTCTTGAATCTGGTCCTGGTGAAAGAACCAAGAAACATTTTATATATTCTCATCCAATTTTGTCAGTGTTTTTATGTTTGTACATAAAACAACAACACCTGTATGAATCATAGGTATATTCCAGCATCTTCACTTTCAAGCTCTATTCAGCCTATAATTAAGAAACAAAAATGTTGACATTTGTAATGCAAGTCCCCACTGGTCTATTGCAGTAGCCTCTATCCCAGGGTTGTCCAATCTTTATGGCCGAAGGGCCACATGTAGTTTACGAATGATCGCGCGGACCAGTTGACATGGTAGTTAGGTTTTAGTTTTCACAACACCGACTACAGGTTAATGAAAACCAAACAAAATCCTCGTACCAAAATTATAAGAACAATGAAAATACGAAGAAATGGTAAAGTCAAAAGTTATTACCACACATAATTATTTTAATGTGGAGTAAGGCATTGCTTTTATCCAACAAGTTTGTCAATATTCGCTGCAATGGACGATGTAGTATTGAAGCGAATTTTTTATATGACTGTCAGAAATTAGTGATTTTACGGGAGATTTGACATGGTTCATCCGTGAAAAAAATTGCCCGTACAAGTTAGTGCTTTCAAAAATAGAGGCCATGAAAACTGCCTCTTCTAGCTTCATAGAAAAAAAAAGGCAGGAAAACAGATTGAAACAAATAGCGGACGTTAATTCAAATATCTCTCTCAAACAATGACGTCCGCAAGAGACTTAAAAAAGCTTTCGATAGCTGGGTGATGCTTCTCGCGCGTTTGAACGACGAGGAATAATTTTTATAGATGTTTTACTATTGGCTCAGATTTGTGAAAGACATCGGGCTTCGAATAATACCGCGCGGACCACTCGGAAACCTTGGGCGACACTGCTCTATTCCACCTAAGAGGCTTATTTGGCTACATCTCACATCCAGTTCGGTTCAATGGGGTAGCTGTGTGTCAGATCCATTTCTTGCCCATAATGGCACCGATCAAGACAATATTTTAAGTCCGTATTTGTATGCTGTTTTCATGGATGACCTTTCTATTATATAAGTTGATTCAAGAGATCATTGAATGTGTTGCAAATAACATTATTACCAATCATATTTTTATGCTAATGACATGTGCTACGTTTGCTCTGTTTAGGCTGGATAATCTACCCAATATCAAACTTTGTAAATCTGTATTGACATATGTTGCGTCCACTAAATATATTACTGTTTTTCTATCCAATTTCTATCCAAAGATTACCTTGACTTGAAACGTTAATATAAATCAATTTACTTCATAGCCCATACAATTTTGAAACAATTTGTCAATTGTCCACTACTGTGAAAAATCTGTGAAAATTCATAACTGCCAGCTCTGGTTGTTTTTTATAAAAAAAGTTTCGTACAATGTTGCTTCTCGCGTAATTTAGTGCATTTCTAGATCTGAAAGTGTTCGTCAAAGAATAGTACGTGGAAACATTCCTTCATTCGAAGCACTCCATAGAAAGAATCATTATTTTTTTTCCCAGATACTGTTTGTGACGGGCTATCTCCGATTCCTAGTCCCATGGTGTCGGGGCCGTTATTAGATCCAGCCATTTTGTGTCTTTCTTTGATTATTATCATTGTGAATGGGATATTACATGATTTATATGACATCCCTTCCAATTACTTTCAACATTCTAGCGACTTTGCATAACTATTATAACGAACTTAGTTCATATTACCGCGTTTCCCCGGAAATAAGACCTAGCCTGATCTTTGAGAATGATTCTAATATGAACCCTCTCCTAAAAAAAAGGCCTAGTCGCTAGCAAAAAATCTCTCCTACATATTTTAAATGATTATTAATATATGTTTAGCGGTTATTTTAAATAATAACGTGTTAATCATAATCAAAAATGTATATTGGTTTTCATCTTTGTGTATTTGAAAATCTCGGTATTCTCCACTTGGTAATTTTGTTTTGGATAAATGAGAATATAAGACATCCCCAAAAATAAGCCCTAGTGGTATTTTTTGAAACAAAATTAGTTCCCGGGGAAACGCGGTAGCAGTTATTTTGTCGATATTGCGCGATTTTACTGTGAATTTGATTCATATTAGGCTTATTAGCTGTTATTTTTGCTTTTATTGTGGCATTGTTCTGTGATATATAATATATTTTTGTATTTGCCTGTGTTAATTGATTTTTTATGTTATTTTACATGGACACGATGGTTTGGTGTAATAAACAAATTGAATAATTCCGGCAATAAGTGAGCAAACGCAAGTACGCCTCACAACTTGATACGCTGTTTTAATTGCAGTGCAAAAAATCTTATAATCTTCAGTTGGTATTGTGCAATTTTGACTTTTTTCACGCAGCACTTGTATCTGTAGCTGTACCGGGGCGATTTCTGGTACTCGAGGAAATTCCACCCTGAGAGAGTGAATTTTTATCGATAATCAAATCGCGCTCACGAAATCAATAATCGATTATGACAACCATGAAAATCGCACGCGTTATTAGCAAATTTTTTCCGAAGATTACAAAAGGGGGGAATTTTATATATATATATATATATAAAACTTTTGAGGAGGTCTCGCGGGCCGCAAGTCGGAGAAAACCCAAAAGTGATCGAAACATCGCGAGTTTATTTACTTTTAATTTGATAAACAACGAGAGTTTATCGTTCTAATCAGACCATTATTATGTTGCATGGGTGGCGTTCTTCTGAAGAAGATATATAAAGCCTTCAGTTATTTAAAAATTAATTCCCTAAATTAACATTGGATTTTCCGCATCTCGCGTTTGATGTCGCTTCAAATTATATTCTTTCGTGACAAATATTACTTGAAATCAAACCAGACACTGCGTCACGCTTATAACCTAATTGCGTAAGTCATTTTTAGCGATTTTGAGTTTTTTTATAAAATAGGTATTTATGTAATGCTGCGCACCTGTCTGTTAACTCAGATTTTATTTTAGGAATTCCGAAACCCATAAAAATGGAGATTTAGTATGACATGCACATTTGTTTCGTCATAATGAATTATCATTGTTACCGATGGACTCTTGTGACGTCACAAAGGCAAAATAACCTCGGCGAAGTACTTTCGAGTTTTTGCACCTTGGAACCTAGATCCTAGCGCGTATTAATTTGAATTTATACTACAGTATAGGAAGGCGTGCACTTGTGATATTTACTGTCCGAGTCCAATTCACCTTGGTTGGCTTTTATATTGGGTGCATTGCTGTTTAATCTTATTTCGGTGGGTGTACAGAACGTGTTATATTTATGAAATATATATTTTTAAACACAAAAAATAATGTAATTGAAACTGATTAGCTATTTTTGGGACTGGACATTGTAGATACTGAGAATTACATTCGTTTTTGGAATGTTTAGTTTTCAGGACTGGTGCATATAGTAAAGTTACAAAATTGCGTATGTCCCCAAGTCATAGACACATTTCTGCCTAAGTCACAGTGCGCCATTACGACGTCACTTAACTGCGTCATACAAATTAACTTCAAATCCGGCTACGATCAAAAAATTGAACCATGGCAAATTATTGAATTATTAAAATGGAAGTTTTTTACGTTTTTTTCAAAACTGCTAAAAATGACAAGCTTAGTGCCATCGTCAAATAACCATCTAAGTTGGTATTTCGGGACCTTGCTGAAAAAAATGGATTGCGCGGCGTTAAGTCGGCTCTGCGTTTCGTCACTACTGAAACATGGCCCACGCTTGAAAACAGAAGAGTGTTTTTACTAAAATAAAAACACAAAGCGTTAGAAAAAAAAGGGGGATCTCGGGATCCCCACCCAAGTTGGAATATCTAAAAAACTCGAAAACGCTCTGCTAATAGATACAAATATACGCTAAAAGTGTTCTGTGGGCCGCACGGAATGTATCAGTATGACAGGGTTTGGACCACCCTGGTTTACCTTATCAAAAAACTCCCGACTTCGCTGACCACTAGATCGTTGAAATGCGATTGTGAAACCGCCACATAGTGCAAATAGTTCATAGGTCCAATTGTTGAAGAGAAAATAAACTTTTTTAAAACAAAAATGCATCAACAAGGAGAATACTAGGAGGAAAAAACAACAGTAATTTTACAAAACGACTCATAAGCCCATTTCGTGTCCAATAAATAAGTTTAAGTGTTTATTTTTGGTACAGAAGGATAACATGATACTTGAAGACGGTCGCATGGTTAACTCGTAATATTTTTAATAAACACTGATAAACTATATAAAATTCTGCTATGAAATTTCTGTGGTGCCCTAAGCGCGTGCTTATATTGCCATATTATTGAGCTGTTTTATAACTTCCCCCTCCCCTTGAAGTAATATGAAATCATTTTCCTTGATATTCGGTTTCAAAAGTTTCCGTAGACGTGTTTTTGCTATCTGCTTACAAATCGTTTTCAACGATCAGATACAGTTCCAACAAAATATCCACCATTATCGTTACAAATTATCTCATTTATTTCTAAAACGGTTAAATATTTAACACAATAGGTATGCAAATATGGCCAACGTAACCTACAACACACAATATTCGATTTGTTTTTGACTATGGTATAATTATTCAGAATACATCATCCTTTGTAGGTTAAAATATCTACCACTGTTGTTTTCGTTCAGACTCTGGCAATAAAGACCAGTTTGGTGAAGGTATATCAGCAGCTAACCAATTGAAATCATCCACCTTACTCCAGTTATTCAAATCTTTATTCAGGCCAGATTTACCAAAATCATCTTGAAGATTTTCATAGGTCCAATTGAATGGTGCAAATCGTACCCTCGATGTGTCTTCAATAATTGCTCTACTGGTGACATGGATATAGAAATCAGTATCAGTTGTATTATGTACACGGAGCTGTTGACACCCAGTGATAATCTTGGTATCGGTACAGCTGTAAAAATGTATAAGCCTGGTTAAAAAGCTGGGAGGATCATGATTATCCCTTACTACAATAATCAACTGAACTAAATAAATTTTCCCAGTCCTTTTAGGTGTATTAAATTTTTATGAGAAAATAAAACCAGATCAATATCAATACATTTAGAGACACTACTTACTTATCAACAAACACAGAACCTGATACAGGTCCACACAATATGACACATTTTTTTATGTTGTTAAGGTGTACTGTTCCTGGATAACCACTTAATTCCAGTCGGCAATTTTCTAGTTTTGTCAATGATACATCTCTTTGATTAATTTCATCAGGTTTCATAGCTATAGTCGCATCGTATTTATCAGATATTCCGCATTCACTCGCGGAGAAGTTAAATTTCTTATCGTCGACTTTTTTTACAGGATTCTTATCAGATTCTGAATAATACAATATTAGTATTTTTTAAAAGAATGTTTCCATAAAACATTCACCACTTTTGAATTTTACAATCTTATACATAATTATCTTTACCACACTCGGAATGAAATTATCTATTAATAAAAACAAATGCATCTGAGAGTCTATGTACAGTAAAAGCGTAGGACACTAAAATATTACATATAGACTAATTGGATTGCACTTGGAATATGAAATGGAAACTGAAAGTTTGCAACAAGTGAAATAATAGATGTCTTACCTTTAATTGATACTTCGTTCTTCTTTTTAGATTTAAATGTGAACTTTTTTTTGGGAATCAGTTCAAGCTTCTTCTTGGAAACATCCGTCTGAACCTGATTAAGAGTTTTCTGTGCCTGCTCAAGTTGATAAGGTCGTAGAAACATTGTAGAGTTATTTACAAATTTTAAAACTTTTTCATAGGACTCAGATAAATTTTCAAGATAACTTGCAATTTGAATGCGATCAGATTTATTGATATCTGTTCTGTCCAGTTCAGTTTGTACAGCATCGCACTCATCTTTGAAATGTGATATAAAATAATCATAAGTTTCCATCTTCGCTTTTGACTCTGTGTCTTGATTCCGTTTTTGTTGAATGCTATCTACTCTTTCCTCTTCGCGTTTCTCCAGCATTGCTGTTTTGAGTTCTTTCTTTTTCATAATAGTATCTTTGGAACCATTTGTTTCACTGCTAATAGCATCCATATTGAATGATCAATGTTTCCAGAGACTACTTACCAGAACATATCAAAATAATTATGCTCAAATGGAAAGTAAACAATTTAAAAGCCTGCTTTTATTAATGAATGTTTTACTGTTTGCACCATTAACAAACTAATAAAGATGATTCAGAATTATTTACACAGTTATTATTTACCATATCTTCTATTTATTCTATTTCATTATGGAAAAAACATACACAGTCTAAAACAACAAAGAAAACCCAACAGAATTTAGAACATCAGGTAATTTTGCAAACCAGCTAGCTATATATCCCAACTAGTTATGAACCAATGGCTTTACTCAGGAAGTAATCTGTTATAAGCAAAAACTAAAATTTCCAATTAAAGCTTGTAACAGATCAAAAAAAATTTACAATTCTCCAGTATTATCAACATTTTTCAAAACATTCAGAATAATTATTTCATTTTTTATGTCTAGAATATGATAATATATAAATTTTTGATATGTAAACAAATCAAACTTTTAAATTTTGAACACACATAAACATAGACAGCACAATGATTAGAGCAAATATTGAAGTCACCAAGCATTCAAATACTGTTGCCTAGTAATATCTTATTTTTGAAAAGTTATTTCAACTGTTTTTGCGGATTATACAAAGTAACAGATGCAATATGATTATTCGACATAACCTCAAAAATCATATTTCTTAATCCAAAACAAAAATTTGATCCAAAGGGGTTAGTGTTATTTGTTGACGATGCTCTATTCAGAACAACTGGTTTGCCAACATCAAAAGGCAATTGGCCAATTACAGCATTCCAAAGTGTACATGGAGTAACGTCAACACAGTTTTCCTCTCCAAGAAGCTTAATTTTGAAATCACATCGATAGTAAATATTAAAATTGTAATGTCCAGGAAAATTTGTGTGCAGAAGAAATTTTTTCACTTGATGAAACTTGCCATCAAATAATATGTCGATTCCAAGAGTAAAATAATTATAAAAATAATCTGTGTGGCGAGTTTCATTCAATTTACGTGGACTTGCAGAATGTATTTTCATTTTATCTTGAAGCTTGTAAAAAATTTTGCATGGAGATCCTAATATTGCAAGAACTTGCTGAACACTATCACCAAATTTAACTGATTTTTCTAAAATGATAGTTTCATTTTTATTATCAGGAACAGTTATTAGTTTCAGATCTAGTCCATCACATTCTTTGCCATTTTCTTTGAAAGAAACTTCAGCCGAATCAAGATATAGATTTCCATGATAACAAGACAATGGCATTGCTGGTGCAGTCGTTTCATTCAGTTGGCTCCCAGCATAAATGCACATTCTTGATACAGCAGGAATAAAATCTGTGGGCAAACTTGATGTGGCACTTGATAACGAATGCTTAGCGAAGAAGTTTTCAAATTGAGCATCGACTGGAAAGAAAAAAGTAAGACCTCTGAAGCTTACAATGTACGATTGCAAACTTGCATCATATTGCCCTGGTCGAGTAGCGCCAAATGCTTGTTCAATCTGTTCCGGGGTTGGTTTATTTTGTGGAGAATTAAAATAATTTCCACAGTATTTAAGTTTAACTTTTGACATGTTAAAAACTTCAATCACTTTTAATCGTTGTGCAGTAGAGTCAAAAACAAGTTTTATTCCATCACTATTCAGGTTCAACACCAGATCAGATTCGATTGGACGTTTCTCTTGATAAATGACTTCCACACTTTTTATGACTCGACAATGTGTTTGTAAAATTTGTACAATCTGTGATAATGGCATTCCAAGTGCAAAACTCCATTGTTCATTTCCAAGAGATCTTTCAGGGAGAACATTTAAATCCAGCATCTCACTCTTAGATTTAGCTAATACAGTAATCTGGTAATAACAAACTATTTGTATACAAATAAAATATAGGTACAATTTAGAGAGTTTATTCCGATTTTCAGTCGCAATAAAACAGATATACGAATAATCGAATAAGTAATGAAAACCGAAAAAAAAGATACACGCTTCCACTTACCTCAAATGGATTACCCCATTAATAAATTTGCCATATCAGAAATAATGATAATGGGACTAACTGGATGGGGGAAGGTCGTTCAACTAAAATTAACATGTGAAAAAATTTAAACATAGACTATTGCATCACAAAGCTCCGCAGTAGTGAATGCTGCATTTCTGAGTTCACCCTAATGCAGTTCTTACCACTTCATGGCAGCTCCTGCCACGAACGTACTGCGGCGGCTCTTGCCATGATTTATGCACTATTGCCCGTATATTCACAAAGTTATATACCAGATTTTAATTCATCATGCGGAAATATATCTATTTTAAATAGATAAATAGACTATTTATACCTGAAACCTAACCCCAAATACATGTAAAACTGTATCCATAAAAAAATGTTCCAACTTACCCAATATTTGTCACTATCAGGGCAGCCCTGTCTTTACGGCCTAGTGCAGTAGTGGGCCTACCTGCCGTGGTTAAGGCAGCAAAATTTTACCCGCAAATGGTTTCTGGCAGCTAAAAAGTCAGTCGCCATGAGTTTGGCATAGCGGCCATAGTTTCGCGGCAGCTTCAGCCTTCAGACGCCACAATACTGCAAAATACTTGAAACTGGACTTGGGAGTTTCCCATCCAAATACCAGCCAGATTTTAGATGAACTGTGGGATCTCTTGCCAAACTTTCAATTTACAAACATAGTGCTATATTATATGATCTGAAGCTTAGAAGCTATATTTTCTTATGGATAATAAAATCATGATCATAATACAGTAATATCTTGGCCAATGAGCATTTTAAATTGAAAATCAAATTTGATTCAGTCAAGATCAAGAAACATGTTTTGTACTAAATGAGGAATGAATTGAAAGAGATGATAGACTAGTTGAGATCAGGTAGTCTACCGGTAGCCTAGAACAAATTCGAATAAATAATGATATAAAAAACTTTAATAATATTAAATATTAAAACTAAAATAATATTTCATCTATATTTTCTGTATATTTCATTTAAGGAATCAATTCAAGACTAGGCCTACATTCAGACATTATGCTAAATAATTTGTAAGAATATAAAATAACTTTGCATTTATTTAAATATGCAATTTTTCATGAGTCCTAATGCAATTACATCAATGTTACGAACCTTTCTACTTAATCGTTTCGTAGATGACATTAAAGAGAGAATACTTTACGCATAAAGCGTTTGAAATTGATAACACTGATGAGGAAGAATGAGTGAGGCCTGTCCGCTTCGTATAGAGCGCATATAATACCGTACGCCGTACGGTTCTTACCCTTCCCTTGATGTCCTCGCATACCGTAAATGTGGATATCGCGATCTTTTTGTTCACAAACCTGCAAAAGTCAGAAAAGGTTCCGCGCAATAAAGTATGTTTACTCGACCCTTGACCCTAAATTAATTATTCCAGTATGCAAGAGGAGAGAGAGAGATTTTATTTCCACAAACAATGATAAACAATATAAAGCAATATCGATGATTTTTATGGAAGTAGATCATCCAATTTACACATTGTTTTGTGTTGGCCAGTATGCAAGACCGTTGAAAGTCATCGAGGCTCGTGACCAATTTTACACTGTTATGTAACTGTCAGAATTGGTTGCTACAATATAAATATAAAAAGGGCAGAAAATGAGTCAGCAGATATTTTAGTGCTAAACTGTGATCTAGTACATTACAGATCATCATAACAGAGTCGGGCTCAGTATGAAATATAAATAAACAATACAGCAATAAGAATAGCACAGATAAATAGGATTTACATATTTGTCCCGGGGGCGAGGAAAGCCGATAAGACTGTTCCGGTATTTCCGGTATTCCGGTATTTCCGACATAAAAAATAAATAAAATTGCAGAGTCCACTTGGGCAGATATGCTTTTGTTTATGGTGGATTGCGTTATGTAGCTGAATATCCATTTAGGATCTCCTTCCAGTTATTTACTATTCCGAGAAAATTAAGGTTAGTAAAAGTGTTCTCCATGGACCTTTCCCCGAGCATCGATTTCCTTGTTTACTTCGTGACCTTGGCCAATCAGCAAGATGTAAAAAGTGACGTAACAATGCTCCCTTTTGGCATCCGCTCAGACACTTTTATCACTCAGACAGATTTTCAAGCGTGGACGTAAACATTACCCCGTTTTCGCATTTTTGAACTATTTTCGTTAGTTTTCAGTTGTGTTTCGGAAATTTAAATATAAATCAGATAATTCAATGGTCACCCTGTCTTCCTAGGAGTTTTAATCTAATTGCAGTCATATAAATTAGTGTAGAAATAGCTGTGATAGATAAGGCTAAAATTCTTTACCAGTACATTTAAAAAACAGATTGTTGTATGCGATGAATCATAATGATGATTTGAAACACATACCCCATTTCACAGGCGCCAACTCGCAAAAGCACTCTTAAAATAGCCCCGAAAATTTTGCAATGGTAAAGTATAGGAAGAATTTTTCGGGGGTCAAAGGTCGGGGAAAGGTCCATTGTGTTTAAAAATTGCGTAAAGTGAGATATTGTTTTTGAAATTATGTCATCGTCCATAGGGGTCAAATATTTATTTTGGATATCCAGTCTTATTTTGGTGCCAATTAAGTTCTTTTTCCATATTACATAACATTTGGTGACTACTATTCGGTTATGCCCCCTGTAACTATTGTAGAATATTTCCTTTAGAGTTATTTTGATGGAGTTGCTTAGTACGCTGTTAAGAATTTTTAAAAGTTTCACCGCATATTTCCTCGTTGATTTACAGTTTATAATTATATGTCCTGTATTGTCTACAGGCCCTTTGCAAAATTTGCAGCCTAATATTTTTAAGTTTCCAAGAGTATCATACCTGAGGGACATTCCCCTCAAGCGATCGCCGAATATGTACCCCTCTCTTATAATGCGATACGAGATTATTCGTTCCGCGTTAGTAAACTTATTTTTATAATCATGGTTAAATAGGTGAGCTTCTTCCCAATTCACATTCAGCAGCTGTTGTTTGTCTTTGGCTGTCCTGTTGTTCTTCAATTTCATGTACAGGTCTTTATGTCTTGCAACCTCCCAGGTGGATTGCGAGAAATTCAATTCTTTATAGATGTCGAGGATGTATGCCCATCGCTCTGGAATAGTATTGCTGTGGGGCATTGAGTTGGTGTATCTATCCTTGTTAATTTGCTTGACTCTGGATCCCAAAGAGTATAATGCCTCTATTTGCCAAAATTGAGTTAGGGGTTCGTTACCCACGATGTATCTCATTTTTTCCACTGCACATGCCTTTATTTTTGCATCAACATCAATCATATTGATCCCACCATCGTTCCACATTCTTTGTAGCGATTTTCTGCTAATGGCCTCTATCTTTTGCGGGTGCCAGAGGAACTTAAACAGCGCACTCTCGATTTTCTTTATATACGTTTTCGGGATTCTCTTTACTCTCGTATGGAAGATTATGACAGACATAATCATGGAGTTGATTGATATCAGTTTACCATACCAGGTGAGGTTTCGCAGCTTAACGTAATTTAGGGTTCGTATCATCTTATTTTCGATTACCTGCCACATATTGTTTAAGTCCATATTTCCAAATTGTATTCCAAGTATTATGGTGTTTTGTTTTATGTAGTTCCCATGTGGCGAATTGTTCACTAAATTATGCGATTCTTTTGTAATACAGAGAATTTCGGTCTTATCTTTATTTATTTTTTGTCCTGTTGCTAAATGGAAATTGTCTAGCTCGTGAAAGATTTCTGTAATAGATAATTGATCTCTAACTGCGAACGTGATATCATCAGCAAACTGATCGAGTTTATGCTCGTATCTCCCCAGTTGGATACCATGTATATTGGCATTTATTTGTACCGATCTTGCTAGGGGCTCTATATTGATGGCGTAGAGAAGCATACTTAACGGGCATCCTTGTCTAATTCCTTGCCCTATATCGATTTCCTGCGTGAGTCTACCGTTTACATCTACCTGACTTTTAATTCCGTAATACATGCTTTTAATTGCTTTTGAGATTCTATTTCCAAGTCCAATTTGATGTAAAATTTTAAATAAGAAGTCATGATTCACTCTATCAAAAGCTTTAAGATTGTCTATTATTATTAGTGATCCGGGGATATTTTTCATTTTGCAGTGTCTAATTATAGCGTCTATATTATAATGAACATCTTCCATACATCTTTGCTTGAGTGCGCATTTCTGGGATGGACTTATGATTTTGTTTAGTACTGGTTCTAATCGTTTAACAAGGATTCTTGATAGGATTTTATAGTCCGCATTGAGCGTTGTGATTGGCCTCCAATTTTTTAAATTTGTTTTGTCTCCCTTCTTGTATACTAATTTAACTTTCGCTATGGTAGCAGATTTTGGTATTTGGCCGAAATATAATATGTTATTCATAAGTTGAGTAAATTGCTTTTTAATAGAGTTCCAGAAGGTCAGGTAGAATTCTTTGGATAGACCATCAAATCCTGGGGATTTATCGTTTCCCATAAATTTTATCGCCCTATATACCTCTTCTTGTGAGATATAACTTTCTAGTATGATATTATCCTCATCTACAATTTTAGAAGAGCCCATTAAGTTTAGATAACGATTTTGGTATTGTTCTTGCGTTATATTCTCTTTGCCCCATAGGTTCTTATAGAAACTTTCTACTATTGATATGATCTCCCCGGGATTTGTTTTTACATTTTGGTCATTTGTCACCAGCTCTTCTATTGTTGTTTGCCTAGATCTGCGCCGGATTTTTTCATAAAAGGTTTTGGTGGGCCTTTCTCCTTCTTCAAGGTTTTTCATTTTTGCCATTAGTATGTCCCTTTTGTTTCGTTCATCTTGAATTATCTCGATCTGCAATTTTAGCCTTTTGATTTCAATCATGTTTTCCGCTTTCCCCTCATTGATTAGTATATCAAATCTTTTTCGAATTTGCATTAAGCTATTATTGTGGTCACGTGTCCGGAATTTCGAGTAGGCAATGGTTTGTTTTTTAACCCTCTTTTTCACATAGTCCCACCAGTCCGACAAGTAATCAAAGTTTTCGATATCCGTGAGTGCGTCTTTATATGTATTTTGGATGATGGTGATATACGTGGGGTCCTTATATAGCGCGGTGTTATTGCGCCACGTTCCTTTGCCCCATCGAACCTTTTTGGTTTGTTCTAGTGTAATTTGTGGGCATAGTATGTGATCCGAAACAGTGTTGGGTATATGGGTTATGTCCGAAATGATGCTATTTACATTGGCCGAGTCAACCACCTCATTATTCGTCGGAAGAAACTTCATCCACTTCTTCCTTTTAGTGTTTCAGTTTTTAGTGACTTCAACCACAGCATTATTCGTCGGAAGAAATTTCATCCACTTCTTCCTTTCAGTGTTCAGCTTTTTAGTGACTTCAACCACCTCATTATTCGTCGGAAGAAATTTCATTCACTTCTTCCTTTTAGTGTTCAGCTTTTTAGTGACTTCAACCACCTCGTTATGCGTCGGAAGAAATTTCATCCACTTCTTCTATTTAGTGTTCATCTTTTTAGTAACTTCAATCATTTCATTATTCGTCGGAAGAAATTTCATTCTCTTCTTTCTTTTAGTGTTCAGTTTGCATATGATCTGTTGCAACTGGACTTATTCGTAAAGCAAGTTTAGGACCAACTTCTAAGAAATGTTGGTTAAGAGCGCTACAAATTGCATTGCCATCATTCAATTTATTGCCATTCACAATAAGATAAGATGGTAATTTGTTTTTGGACACGTAGTGGATATAACGATCGTTTCGGTATTTTTGTTGTTCTTA